ATAAATATAAAACAACGATTTGAAACAAAAAACTTAATTCAGCCACTACTTTTGAAAACTTGCAGAATTTTTTTATATCACCTTTACATACTTGAGCCAGCGATGATGGCGTGCATCAAGGAGACCTGTCTGTTTGATTAAGAAAGAGAAGATGTGATCTTACAACAGCATGGATATATTTGAGAGATTACATTTTATTCATTCATCAGTCCGACACACGTGGTTAACTGCCTCAAAGAAAAAATTGCAATTGAGCAATTAAGTGGTGGTTCATGCACCACTGCAAATGCATCAACTTTCATAAGATTTCATTACTTTGTCTTATTAACACTGCATTGTTTCTTGGGCCTAACAACTTCTTTATGCATAATTCAACCATGTAATTAAGATGGGTGTATACACCACCTGCATAGATTTACTGTAGATGATGTAAACGAGTGGGGCATCTGGAATATGTATGCCAGCTGATAAGAGATTAAAATGGTGCACAAACTTGGCCTACTCTGCACACCAGCATAGTGCATCAGATTAGTAATGGTGCACAACTGATTTTACGCCTCCGTGCTGATTCAATGTCTTGATTTATTTTTGAATGCACTGACAACAGCTCAACTATTAAAAAGCTTCGAACTCCATACTTTTCTCTAACAAGGTTAAGTCAGGTCCTCTGGACAGATCCGTCCAAAGGACCTGACTTAATCTTGTTAGATTTATCTACCTGGATTATTGAGCATAAATCAAGACATTTACACCTTTCTGTTCGAAATGAGAAAGTTCCTTGGATGAGAAGCAAAAAGTTTTCAAAGTAAAAAAAAAAAAAAACAAGTAATCAAAAGGAAAACATTTTAAGTTTTGTTGAAGTGTGCCGTTTTCTTTTGACTGTTCTAGGCTTGACTGGTTTTCTATTGTGTCACCAACAGCTAAACTAGTGGCTTTACAAAGTATCATTTATTGCCTTTGGGGAGTGGTGGCACAGAGGTTAGTAAAGGTGGACCTGTGATTGAAACGTCGCCGGTTTGACACACACACCCGGACCGACAACCTCAAAATATGGGTGGGAAAGGTGAAGCACCCACACCTGCTTCCACCCTCATTTGCACCACTCTGGGCCCTTGAGCAAGGCCCTTAACCCCAAACATCTGCTCCCCTGGGCACCCTAGATGGCAGCTCTCTGCTCCACACAGAGGGCTGTGGTAGCTCGGTGGTCTATGGTTGCATCAGCAAGAGCATCCAGCGTAAAAACAATTGCCAAGTCTTCATGCGAGTTAGTTTGCTGTGGTGACCCCTGAAGAAGGAAGCAGCTGAAAAAATAAAAAATTGTTTAGTTGCCTTTAATTGTTCCTAAACAGCAGGATGTAAATCTCTTTCTGGCCCTTTTGCGGTCAGGTACTACAGCCATTTCTTCCCATCAGGTGAAGGGGGATATTTCCCTTTAGCTTTCTCTGGTTTACAGTAGTGATGTGAGAGGAACCCTAATTATAAACTATATAACTGGTTGAAAATACAAATGACCTTCATGAAAGAAGGTTCAGTCTTGAGAGTCAGCCTGCCAGCAAGGCGGTGAGGTGATAGTTGGCATCTGCCTAGTCTGCTGATATGTGGAGTGTGTCTAAAGGGAGGAGCGGGCTGAATGGGAAGCATAATGGAGGGGGTGTGTTTGTGTCCCCTCCTGCTCAGCTGTGTTGAAAGGCTGCCAGTGCCCGGTCGTCTCAGCTGGGATTTATTTATTTTTTCTGATCTGTTGGAGCGATGTCAACAGCCTGAGGAGGTGCAGCCTTGCCCAGCATGGCAGACTCTAGTCTGGTCTCCAGCTTTATGGATGAGAGAGCACCAGCAAGTTAATCAGTGTGTCAAGCAAGACACTATCAAGGATTGTTTTTTCCTCTGGTGTTATACATCTAAATGGTGCTAGACAAAAACAGACCAACTTTAATCAGAAAAAAATTGGCCACTTAAAAAAAAACTGTTTAATATGTATGAAATAGATTACGTAAAATACAACGTAAAATATTATTGTACTTTTATTAATTTTTTTGTATTTAATAAATTCACATCTTTCTCTTTTTGTACCTTTATTAAATCAAGGTGGTAAGGGGGAGAAATTACCTAAAATTATTCTGTAACCAAGTGTTGCCCTCTCATGCCAAATGCAAGTGTCACTCTAAGCTGTTGGGTTCCAGAGCATCTTTATGCTAATTTAGACTTAATCAGACACCAGTAAACTGGCACAGCTGAGATGCTGCTTGTCCTGGCAGAGGGGATCTTGTAGTTACAAACTGACATTGACATGGCTGAACCTTTGCTGCGGTATTGGTTGGTGTAAATGGCTGGTGGAACCGTGAGAAAAGTAATCATGCTGTAGGTGAAATTCTTAATATAACACCAGTAATAAAAATAAGACTATCTTTACTTTCATGAAAATTAATTGGGTGTTTCCAAATCGATACTTGATCATAAAAAGTGTAAAATACTTACTTGTTAAGCTAAATGTGGTTCTTACAAAAATTATCATCAAAAGTTGCAATAGGAATGGAGCGCTACAAAATTAAATTAAATTCTGTCATCTGCATTTTCAGATGGGCCTTGGTACCAATGGAAGTCCGTTTGGGGCTCAGCCTTATGGTCAGGGAGCTGCAGGACCAGGACAGCAACTAAACCCTCAGCAGCAGCTCCAAAACAAGGCTGCCCTCGCTAACAGTCTGCCACCATTCCCTAATGAACTCAAGGGTGCCGCTGTTACAAGCGTGCCAAACATGGTCAGTCTTTTTGTTGTAAATGTACATTTTCCATGTACATGAGAGTGTAGCATTTAGGAAGAAGCAGGTAAAGAGGATGGATGGATGGATGGATGGATGGATGGATGGATGGATGGATGGATGGATGGATGGATGGATGGATGGACTAAGAGTGTATGCGCTTGTATCTGGTAAATTAAATGATAACTTGCAGGTAATTTATTTGCCTATGCATATTTCTGTTTTACTGACTGATTCAAATGTTTGTTTGTTTGTTTGTTTGTTTTTATTCTAGCCCTAAATTGTGTTTTATTCTGAGTTGTTAAGCAAAAAGTAAAATGGTACTCCTTAAACTCTGTAACAAGTTTGAGATGTGTGCCTTTTACTTTGCCACCCATGCAGCAGCTCCAGCAGCAGCCACAGCAGCAGTCAGCGATGCTCCCGCTGCCTGGCAGTGGAGGCGTGGCGGTGCCTTCGGCAGGGCCAACAGCCGACCCTGAGAAGCGCAAGCTGATCCAGCAGCAGCTGGTCCTGCTGCTTCATGCACACAAGTGCCAGCGACGAGAACAAGCTAATGGGGAGGTCAGGGCGTGCTCCCTGCCTCACTGCCGCACCATGAAGAACGTCCTGAACCACATGACCCACTGTCAGGCTGGAAAATCCTGCCAGGGTGAGTTTTAACAATTTAAAACAAAAAATATTAATTACTAACTAGATGTAGGCATTTTTACAAAATGGGCTTTTGCTCATTATTTCTGAATCTGCCGTGATAATGCCCACTTTTTTGTCTTTAATTAGGTTAGAGTTTATTGAAGCATCTTTAGATTATGCAGGGTTTCTGCAGGGCATTAAAAAGCATCATTAAATGGATTCATCAAAATTTAAGGCCTTAAATCACATTCTAAAGCATTATATTTGAAACTCAGTGGCATTAAATGTTTTTAATTTATTTTCAAGAAAAATGAGAAACAGTTTTGGAAACCGCTCAGCCAGACATGCTCATCAGGGTGATATATTAGAGAAACGCACGGAACCATTATTAATTGTTTCTGGTCGGTCAGTGCTCAACTGTCGTGCATTGGAGGGAAAGCAGGAAAACTTGAGGAGCACAAACAAAATGGGTAAATGCAAACTCTGTTAATGTGGCTGGGAATTGAGGAGTTTAGAGCGTGGCCGGTCGACTGTCAGGGTGGTGAAGGATTTTGCATCGGGGAACAGCCGAAACGGTCAACGTGGAACAGTAAGACGGCGTTGTGCGAGAAACAGCTTAGCCACCACGAGAGTGCACACAGCCTGTGTAAGTGTCTGTCTCGGTTTGATTCACTGTTTCTGCTTCTTTAGTTCTTGAATTCTAGAATTGCGCCGCTCAAGGTGGCTGCATGTTGGAGCAGCTCTGTTACTTTCATTCTGAGATTTTGCTTTTGGAAACTTTAATTCCTCTTTTTCTGGATGTAAATCACATTTTTTTGGATGATTGTTTCCTCTGGTATCGGATGCTGTGCAGCTGGAAGGTTTTTAACTGAAACTTTTTTTTAGTTTTGGACATTTGTTATGATGCGTAACCATGGCAACAAGGCAGTTTTCTACAACCAACAGCAGCTGATTAACATCTCAAAACTCAAATAATATCTCAACTACAGCCCCAAATCTCAAATGAGTTGAAAGGATGTTCTGTGGATGCATTCTCATCTACCTGCCAGCTGTAGGCAGCTGCTGGAGCTAGCAGGAAACACGGCTCATGACAGCGGAAGGACAGGATCGTCCCTCGACACCTACAGTTGGCTGTCCACAGCGACGAGGAGCTCGGCAGACTGCTGGGAGGAGTGGCCATCGCTCTGGGAAGAGTTCTGTCCGGCATTTGGGCGGTCCTACAGCCCGGGGGAACCAGAGGCCAGCAGAGTCCGGGTGGACGGATCGGACGGCATCTGCAGCCAGTTTCTTAGGATCCACTGTGGGATGGACCTTTACAAGAGATCCTTCCTGTCTACAGCCATCAGCATCTATAACATCTCTTAATGAAATGAGGATAACGAGTTACAACAACAAATAATTTCCCTTTGGGATTAATAAAGTATTTTTGAATTGAATTGAATTGAATTCAACTTTATTAACACTAAAAGGTGAATATTTGTATCCCCAAGATTATATTTAAGATGTCTCTATTTATTTAGTTATTACCAAAAACGCATGATGTTCTCTCCTTGTTAGTTTCAAGGATTAAGTTTATCATAAACTTCTGCAACTCTCAATTTTACATGGGATTTTATCAAAATAAACGATAAGGTGATGCATCATCTATCGCACAACTCGGCCGGACCATTAAGCGAAAACAGATTTATTACCGAGGGAATATCAACGATGACACGAAGCAACTTTTTATTAAGTTTAAAACCTTAGTTAACCACAACAAAAAGCAGTGATAAACTACAGAGCCCTGTGAGGGCCATGTAAAAATACTTGTTGCAATACTTCTACTTCTACTCTTACAATTCTATTGATCTGAAGTTGGAGAGCAAACATCTCAGTAATGAAGAGCTTCAGATCCAATGTGCTGCCTTCATTTTATGTAATTTAAAGTGTGGATTTGTGCACAAACTTTGTTGTCGAGTCACATTCAGTGCTGAAGTAGTACTCCAAAAAATTGGTAATTGTTTTTTTCTACTGAGTGAGGAAAAAAACAGCCTTTGAGGAGTGACATTTTAAATCCATATTATAAATACATTCATGTTCTTTGCGTCCAGTTGTCAACCTGTAAATACTGGTTTACTTTTTTCTTTATTGAACTGTCACCACTTTATTTTACAAGAATATTTTTATGTCTTAGATCTGTGAGTTTTGTGCGTAGGATGCCTTTTTATTATTGGCTGTTGGCCAAAAATGACAAAAACAACTTTAAAACATTTGTTAAAAGAACATGTGAGCAACTGTTCGTGCACGCTTGTATTTTTTTAATGCTTTTATCTTAAACTGAAAAATTCATCAAGTAATTAAACTTGGCTGTTTAAACTGATGTAATTTCTCACGCGCACCTAGCGCACGACGGGGCTGTGCACATCAAATGTTAAAATAACTTGGTTGAATTTTGGTTACAGATGAGGCGCTGGTTCAGAAAAGACATTTGTGTTCGATATTCCTCTGGCTTCAATAGGCAATATTTTAAACAAAATTTGGTACAATTGTAAATATTTATATTCTTCAGTAAACTTAAACTTCAATACCTGAGGAGATTCTTACAACTTTCTATTAAGTATGTGGTGATCTACTGTGATAAATTCTCATGTATTTTTTTTTTCTCTTTCTTTTTGCAGTGGCTCATTGTGCTTCATCCAGACAGATTATCTCTCACTGGAAAAATTGCACACGACACGACTGTCCTGTCTGCCTGCCGTTGAAGAACGCAAGTGACAAACGCACCCAGCAGCGTAAGTATAAGTAGCAGTTTGAAACACTCAACGTTGAAACTGTCAAGTTGTCTACGGCAACTGCAAACGCCAAACAAAGAGTTTAAATGCCTTAATTCACTGAGCTGAATGCAGTTTTGGAAACCACTGTTTGTTTCTTTTTATAGTCCTCAACTTCTTTCAAATCAGGAATTAATACAGGAGGTAATACAGTGTTGTAGTTGGATCTCATAATTCAACACGATGATGTTAAACAGTCATTTAAAACATCTTTCTGTGCTTAAAAAGAACTGTCAAGCAGCTCTATTACTCTAAAGTCCACAGAGTGTCTTATTCTTCGATTTCTAATCTGACCCACAGTAGTTAGATATGGTCTAAAGAACAGAAATGGTCTTTATTGTGCTTGTGCATTTTCACAAAACAACTGGATGTTGGGTTTTTATAGTTGCTCTCAAAGTCATCCAAATTTGGCATCTCCTTCACTTTTGGTCTATTCAAAACATTTTAGAGCATTTTTAGCATCTTCAGAAACTAAACTCAAAAAAATCTGCTAAAATTGTGTCTTGCACATATGTCTTGTTTAATTGTTTCAGCCATACATTTTCTAATTTTATCACAATGAAATGTCAAACCCTATCAAAGATTAGAAATTATATTGATGAATGTTTAATTGTATACAAGGATTTTTGTTTTCCCTCGACTGACTGCTCTTATTCTTCTCCTCAGCTTTGCTGAACTCTCCAAATACAGGCCTCCAGAACCCGATGTCCACTGTTGGCATAGGCCAGCCCAGTGCACCCACCATCAATACCTCAGCACCTATAGACCCCAGTTCCATGCAGAGAGCCTACGCAGCTCTTGGTTTGCCCTACAGCAGTCAGGCCACAGGACAGGCCACTTCCCAGCAGCCCCCTGGACAAACAACCGGTGCCCAGAACTCACCGGGCCAGCAACAACAACTTTCACAACAGATGAGACCCATCAGTACTATTGGTAAAGTTACCCCGGCATGTTTGATCACAAATGCTTTGTGATAATCTTTGAAGAAATCTGTCAGGGGCCTCGTGTACAAAACGTGTGCAACTTTCGTACTGAAAGTCGGCCCATGGACAAAACTCTACAAGTGCACATGCACAGAATACACACACAATTCATATATCACAATTTACCTGGAGTAGAGCGCAGCTGCACGTTCCACTTTGACCACTCTGTCCCCTCTCATAAATAAATATGCAAATTAGGATAAATACATGGCCAGCTTCCACCCTGTGCTCAAATAAACATGACAAAGGCACTGAATGTGAAATAAAAAATTTACTAGTGTTAGAAAAAAAAATATTTGGTAGTTATTCCTTCAGGGTTGGTAAGAAAAAAGGAAGTGGCAGAAGGTGGTTAATGCTGCGTGATCTGATTTCTGGTCCTTGCCTCAAATAAAAATATAAGTGGTCCGACATCAAAGTTAATGTAAGGGAACGAGTTGGTGCACATCGGAGTGTTTCAGGCACGGTGTAGTTTTATTTTAATCATTTCAGGGACGACTGTAAAATACTCGACCTGTCAGCCAGCTCCCTCTGAAAGGCTTCAGTTGCAAGGTACCCCAGAGTGATGAGGACTTGAACTGGTTCTCTAAATCAGATAATAAGCCAGGTATTATTGTTTGACAGCAGCTCCATTTCATCCCTGAATACACACTCCCTACAAATTATTTAATTGCTGATATCCTCCAGCAGCTCCAACGTGCCATTGTTCCACAATTATGTGCAACTTGACACAGCTGTTTACAGATTTATCGTTATCTACATCTTGTTGACTTTAGGAACCATCACGTGACTTGTTCTGAATTGTGTTGATTGACTGTTTTCTTCTCAGTAGTTATGTTTACATGGACATAAATAATCAAATTAAACGGCCATTCAGAATAAATGTCATGTAAACACCCCATTTGGATTATTCTTTGTTGATTCAGCTCGATCCAAATGAATTTGTAATCTGAATGAGACAGGTGGTTTATGCCGATTCATAATCCGGTGTGCATGTAAACACTTAATCTGATCATTTTATTCCGGTCGTGGAAACTGACCTGACTGCACATGTGTGACCTATGTCTACCTCACGTATTTCCACCTGACTAGATGCTAATATGTCAGGGAAGCTAAACTGGTCAGTGAGCAATACAACATTTCTACAAGAAACTTTGAAAGAGCTCAAAATTATCTGCATTAACTGTAGCTCTATCAGGGAGTGCAGTAACGTCTCCACCGTCGTCAGAACCTGGCACGGGTCCATTTTTGGGCGCTCAGCTTTTGTTTATGCTCATCACGGAAGTAGAACTTCTTTTTCTGTGTTTTTTTAAGGAGAGTTTGCCACTCTGCATGTCAGTGCTTCTACTCTGAATAAAAGCCCGCTGCATGTAAACGCTCGTCGTGAACGGATTGTGCCCATGTAAACGATACATTTGGATTATTTTATCTGAATACATTTCAATCCAATCAAAGAATTTTGCACATGTAAACATAGCTAGTGAGAGTGGAAGCGCGCCTTCGATAATTCACGTGCATTTAATGCACCTCAACTGTCTGTCTTGCGAGAGTTGATGTGTGTTTACATCTACATGTGGCAAAAATAGAGAAGACTTTACAGTTTACATTGCCTTGAGTTTAGAAAAACAAATGGCCATATTTCAGTACATTTAGTTGAGTTTCAGTACTTTTTAGTGTATTACCGTCCATTAAAAAAGATGGTGTGGTGGCATGCACATATTTATGCAATGTTCATTTTTTTGTGTGTTGTATGACATATGCAAGCTTTTTGTGCGTATGCATACATGAGGTCCCATGTTCTCTTTCAAATCCCAAGCACCCAGCATTAACTCGAGCCACCGCTGAAAGAATGTTACTTTCAAGGAGCCCGATGTTTTGTGATTCTGTTAAACGTGCAGTAGTTCGCCAAGCTTTTTTTTTCTCCAATGTTTTTCTTTGGATACTGAATATTAATTTTACTCATTGTCAGTCCATTTAATCTTTTTTTAAGCGAATGGAAATGTTACTGAAGAAAATAAACAAATTGTGTTTTTGTGACTGGCCTAAAGATAAAGTTTAAAAGTGGCTAGGGCTTTATGAAGAACTTCCACTTTAGCTGCCAAAAGTAAAAAAAAAAAAAAAAAACAGGCAAAGGTTGGCGTAAGACTTTTGCAAATATTGTAAAGTTTTGAGTAGAGTATTTTATTTAAATGCATAGTAATTGCACATATGTTGAATCAATGAATACATGCATGCAAACATGCATATCAGATTGATTTTAAAGGTAATAAAATTAGAATAAAGTGCAGTATTGTGTTGATGAAGCTTGATGTTCTCCTTCTTCACATCATTTTGTTTTTACAGGTAACCAGATGGCTCTTGGAGGTGGTACAATGGGTGTGACCACTTCAGAACAGACAAACTTGCACACAGACGCTCTTTCAAACACGCTCAACACTAACAAGTCAGTCCCTACCTCTTACATTAACTTTAATGTTTTTCCAAACTTGTTTCCAAGAGAATGAAAGTACTTCTAATTATGTAATAACCACAAGAATAAATGTAGTGCTTCTTGTAACCTTTATCCCGTTTCACTCCAGTCCTCTGCTGACAGACGGATCAGCTGTGGGCTCAATGGGAAACCTACCTACAGCAGCACCCATCTCTGCCACAGGCTCCAGGAAAGCCTGGCATGAGCATGTCACTCAGGACTTGCGCAATCACCTCGTACACAAACTGTAAGTGGACACATCAATCTGAGTTATTACTCGGTTCATGGCTTGTGTTTTAAAATCCAGATGCTTGAAGTACAGAAGCTGAAACTATCAGAGGTTGTCATTTCTACTTTTGTGTGTGACAGAGTACAAGCCATATTCCCTACCCCTGACCCGGCAGCTTTGAAGGACAGACGAATGGAGAATCTGGTGGCCTATGCTAGAAAGGTAGAGGGGGACATGTATGAGTCTGCTAACAGCCGGGTAAGTTTAATTTAAAAAGATGTCTCTCATCAGTGCCCTAACAAAATTTCTTTGCATCATCAAAAAAATACATCTAGAAATTCCTGCTTCAAATTTTACAGTTTACCTAAAGCTTTTAAAAACTTCACTGTCTACAATTTTATATATTTTTTTATTTTACTTTTAGGACGAGTACTATCACTTCTTGGCTGAGAAAATTTATAAAATCCAAAAAGAACTGGAGGAGAAAAGGCGTTCAAGACTACAGAGGCAGATCATCAACCAGGCGCCTATTGCTGCACAGGGGCCCCAACAACCTGGCCTTCCTCAGCCCAATACTTTGGCCCCAAGACCGCAGAGTGAGTGCAAGTGTATGTGCCAAATGGCTTCAGAGGTAAAATCTCAGACTGTTTGTAGACGACAAATACGGAGACGTGTCTGAGCGCAGCTTGTACCAACAGTTTTTGAGCGGGGGTGTTCAGCATGAGGGAAGAGGCGCCTTTATCTTTTTAGCTAGACCGCCTGTATTGCACGCTGCTAGCTTAGCGCGACATGTTTGAGTTGTGCACTGTTTATACAGACAGTTTTTGAGCGCGTGTGGGGGGGTGGGGGGGTTAAGCTTGAGAGAAAAGGCAACGTGGGCACTGCTTTTAGCTTTTTAGCTATATAGCCTGTATTTCGCTCTGCTAGCTTAGTGTTATGTCAGTGCTGGGGTGGGGGCCAGTTCGGTTTGGTAGGCAGGGTGCTCATTTCTGTTGACGGGGTGGGGCACCCCGCTTGTATAATGGTAGGGGAAACGCTGCAGAAGAAGTGTCTTCTTCAGAGGTTTTTGTGTTATTTCCTTCAGTAGTTCTTGGTGCAGCACCACCACAGGCGAGGGTGGGGGGACAGGTTGGCTCGACTGACTCAGTGCAGTGTGAATGTGAACTGCACCAGCTGAAAATGTAAACAAATGTTCTGAATTTTGAACCCCAATCGAACCGAGTCTACCGGACTATCAGGTGTGAAACCGCCTTCAGTTTCAGAGAGAACGGGGGCCGTTGTTGTGTAAATGAACGACCGAATTCACATCTTCTAAACGGGGCCAGACTGACTGTACTCTGTAAAGTGACAAATTTTATGGTGAGGATGGATGATGGGCTGACGTCTTATTTTTATTCATTTTTTATGCCATGCCATCTACCCATAGCACCTTGTAAGATCAACCGGTAGATTGAGATCGACGTATTGGGCACCCTTGATTAACAATATTCCTGGTCTGAACCAGGATGTATACGATGCTGTTTGTTGTATATGTAATAGGTCTTAATATTTGTTTTACAGATGGACCTGTTTCTTTACCAAACATGCCAAATCAAATCATGAATCGCATGCAGGTTTCACAAGGTGAGCATTTAATGTTACGTCTCTGTTCAGTTACTTAAAGCCACTGTAAAGGGCCCAGCCTAAACTAAATGAGGGGGGGGGGGGGGGGGTGGAAATGCAGCTTTGGTTTTACATATTGTTTTTGTATTTGTTGACTTCCTGTTTGTCATCAACATTTTTGGCCCCACATTTTTTTAATTTTGTTTTTTGGCGTGCAGGAATCAACCAGTTCAACCACATGACTCTGCCCAACCCTCAGATGTCTCAGGCACCAATGGGAGCCCGAGCTGCTTCTCCTATGAACCACCCGCAGCAAATGAACATAAGCTCTGTCCCAGCGGTAAGAAACCCACAGGAGCAAAATGCAAACACTGGCATGAATCTATCATTAGCTCTTAGCATTTTCTCTTGTATAAGTTACTGCAGCTTGATTAAAAATTCTAGTTAACAAGTAATGGTTTACTGAGAAGAGGTTTTTAGAGTACTCCAGATGGGTTAGTTTTTATTTTTATTTTGTATTTGTAAAACTCTTGTGTCTGCCCTATAGGTGGGAATGTCTCCCTCAAGGATGCCCCAGGCACAGGGCATGATGCCAGGGCACAGCAACCTGGTGGCCCAAACGGCCAGCCAGGGACAGTTCATGCCTCAGACTCAGTTTCCTCCCGGGTCAGGTGTAGTTGCTCCTTCGAACACCATGAACGTCACAGTGGGACCCAGCATGGGCCAGCCCCCGGCTCAGGCTGCCGTCAGCCAGGTGAGATATGAGGCGAGATGAGGTGCTGTTGTAAACTAAACTGCAGAACCGATCTGGTTTGAATGTTTTCATTGGAAACGATTGACACAAAGTCATACGAATTCCAAATTGTTGCCAGGAAGCTAAAGTGTAAAAGCATTAACCAATCATACGACACACTAATTGCTCTTTAATTGATCATATGAATCACAGTGTGCACTCTAAACCCTAAGTTGTTTGTGGTGGTGTCTGACTTTTTTTATTGTACGTTTGTCGCTTGTTTTGTGTGTGTGTGTGTTCGTCGGCTCTTTGTGTTTATCCTTCTCTCCAGCAGCAGCAACAGAATGCTAACCTTCCCATGAATGCACTCGGGCCCCAGCTGGGCCCTCAACTATCCTCCTCCCAAACCCCCTTGCACTCCACGCCGCCTCCTACAGCCTCCTCTGCCTCTACGGCCGGGGGGGCCACTAACCTGCCGCTCACCCAGTCCTCCAGTCGCAGCTCCACCCCCACACTCCCTGTCCCAGCCCCAGCCCAGGGTGCCACCCCACCCTGCCCCACTCAGTCCCAACCCCAGGCGGAGCTCCCTGCAGCGGCACAGACGCAGCCCCCTCAGCCCCCAACCACACCGGTGAGACTGAGTCCCTCCGCATGCCCTCCATTTTGACTCCTCCCTCCTCCCCCCTTCTTCAATGCAAACTGCCATCCCTGTGATTGCCATGCACCAGTTCCATTCCATTCACACCCATCTTTCTAATAACTGCATCTTCACCACTGTTTGTAGCCTCCATCACTATGGGAATGTCACAGTTTTCATACATAGGGAGCAATGGTGAATAAAGGCTGCATGCACTTGTGTCACAGCTGCAGCCCTGCATGCTAATCAAACCTAAAACTTGTGTTGAACTGCTGCCAAATATCATATTTTTTATGTTGTCTTCTCCCCACTTTTCCTCTTTTGTGTTTCAGCTTTCCCAACCTGGAGCCAGTTTGGAAAACCGGGTGCCCACTCCCGCCTCGGCTGCCAGTGCTGACCTGCACCCGCAGCACGTTGGGACGGAGGTTAAAACAGAAACACACACAGACCACCAGGAATTTGAGGCTGCTGGTGGGAAAACGGAACCCAAGATGGAGGTAAATATGAGCTGCAACATGAAGTGCTTTCCAAACGATCACACACATTTTGTTTTAAACTTTCCAAGATTATCTAGATTATACTATTTGTTATTTATATAAGACTTCATCTACAGCTCTGTTATGAATCACGGGCTAGTTTGCCTTCTGTATTTCATCAGTTCATGTACTCAATTTTTAGCATAAGTCAGAGGGAGGTTGGTTTTTTTTTTCCATGTCCATCAATTTCAGCTTGTATTGCAAAAAAAAAAACCTACCCGTTTTTATAGATATCAATCATGACCCTTTTTTCCACCAGCTTGGGCTTTCTCAAGAATTGTACAGTGTGGCTGAAACGTGCTAACTAGAATATTTGCACGAGTTACGCTTCAAAACGGGTCTTTTAAACGACCACTTTCCCTGTCCTGCTTCTCAGTATTGACTGCCCTGCAGGTTTTAGACGTTTCTGTGCTTCAACATGTGTGACATCAACCTTATGGGTTCTGAACAAAGACGCTTGTGAACTTGGTTGAATAAATTATTGGTAAATGCTGAGAAGGCAGTTCAGTTTTCAAAATCCAAACTAGTATTGAAAAACATTGCCTTAAATAGACTTTAATTGGATTGCCTAATAATGTTTGTAATAGCTTTTTCCCCTTGCTGCTATTTGTACCAATTATTTTATAAAGCAATTTATTTGATTGAGGTTCAATGAAAGTATTTAAATAATTCTAGAAATTGTATAATTAACTGGACACTCACTCAAGCCTAAAATTAACTTCAAACATGCAGACTGCATCTTCACATCATTACAGACACAACATTATTGTATAATTTTGCTGTTCAAAAAGCTTTTTGAATTGTTTCAGATGTGGTTCTGACATGAAGATGCTTTGTTCTCTTATCTGTAGACGGAGGATGAGTCTGCCGCAGTGTCCGTAAAGAAGGAGGAGCCGGAGGAAAACCCGGAGCCAATGGAGGTGGAAGAGAAAAAGCCCGAAATCAAGACTGAACCCAAAGAAGAGGAGGATGTTGGCTCTAATAGCACAACCTCCTCGTCCCCCTCTCAATCACGGCGGAAAAGTGAGTGTGATGCTAAGGAAATGAAACAAACTTGAAGGATTTGTAGCCTTCTACCTTCGAAATCTTGCATTTTGTATTCAACCAGCCCATTTGTTTGGTTTGAATACCTCTATAGGATCTTTTTTCAATGTTTTGTTGGAGAAAAAAGTTCTTACAAAGGGTTTGTTACTTTAAAATAGTTGCCCTTTTTAGTAGCAATGCTATAAACATTGAGAAGTAATCTTAAAAGTCGAAGACCTACTTATAAATGTGTTATTTCAACCACCTGGCTTTCCATCATAATTGTTGTTAGTGCTCCTAAAACAGTGTGAGGTTAACGCTGAAAATGGACCTAGTGAACAAATCAAAAACAAGTTATTGAACCACTGGAGACTGTAATGATCCATCCATCTTTATCTGCTTCTTCCTTTTCGGGTCATGGTGGTCACTGGTGCCCATGTCCATCAGTCACTGTGTGAGAGACGGTGGACACCCTGGACAGGTCTCCAGTCCATGACAGGGACACAGAGACAAACGAGACAACCAACCATTCACACTCACACCTAGGGACAATTTAGAGTTACCAATCAGCCTAACATGCATGTTTTTGGTCTGTGGGAGGAAACCCACACATGCACGGAGAGAACATGCAAACCACCCAGAAAGGCCCCCGGCCGGGATTTGAACTGGGGTGACCTGCTCGCTGAGAGACGGCAGCTCTGCCAACTGCGTCACCGTGCCGCCCCCAGTAATGATCATAGATACAATTTCAGATCTATCTAAAATGTATCACTTTTATTTTGTTAACTATGAACAAAGTTTCCTGATTCAGGTAAAAACAATCTAACAAAATAAAGTCAGGTCCTGTGAACAAAATTATACTTTACCCTTTAATATCAACAGATAAAATGTATTCACTATTGTTTTGTTTAGTATTTGTTAGAGCGGCTGTGGCTGAGTGGTTAGAGCAGTTGTCCTCCAATGTGAGAGTTGGGAGGTTCGATTCCACCAGCATGCTGAAGTGTCCCTGGGCAAGACACTGAACTCCTCATTGCCTCTGATGTGTTTCCCGTCGGTGTATAAATGTGATCAAACACTATTCTATGTAGAGATCTAGTAGAGTGCTGTATGAATGGGTAAATGAGGACACAGATGTAGTGTAAAGAGCTTTGAGTGTCTTGATCAGATAGAAAGGCGCTATATAAGTAGTTCATTTACCATTTAGTGTAATATCCCAGTCACAGGGACCTTTTAAACTATTTTAATCTGTTTTTAGCACAAATGTGGGTAGAAAATTACAACAACTTCTTTGATTCTTTCTTGTATTATAAACATTATCCCAAACTTTCCTCTCTTTTATTTATTTTTTTTTTTGCTGTACTAAGTTCGCCTCTTTTTTCTTCTTCTTCAGTATTCAAGCCAGAGGAGCTGCGCCAGGCTCTGATGCCGACGCTTGAATCTCTTTACAGGCAAGACCCAGAATCTCTGCCTTTCCGACAGCCTGTAGACCCCATGCTCCTGGGTATCCCGGTAGGTAGCACACAGTCCCTGCTGTCTATACAAAACCTGCAAAAACAACTTTAGCTTCACTGTTACCTTCTGTGTTTATTATTTATTTTGTCCTTCGTTCTCGTCTCACCAGGACTACTTTGACATAGTCAAGAACCCAATAGACCTCTCTACAATAAAGCGGAAGCTTGACACGGGACAGTACCAAGAGCCTTGGCAGTACGTGGATGATGTGTGGCTAATGTTCAACAATGCCTGGCTCTATAACCGCAAGACTTCCCGTGTCTACAAGTACTGCTCTAAGCTGGCTGAGGTGTTTGAATCGGAGATTGACCCCGTCATGCAGGGCCTGGGTTACTGCTGTGGGAGGAAGGTGAGACGGATTGAAAATATACTCAACATTTTGATTTAAGCGCTAAAGTCTTTAATTTATGTTCACATTCTAGGACAGTTGTGCCATTATAAAACATTTTTTCAAGCACTATTCTCACTTACTATAAAATCTACAACTTTTATTTAGTTTGTTTATTCGTCAGTCAACTTTGCCATTTACAGTTATAAAATAAAATGGAAACATGAATTGCAAACTAAAGTGCAAAATATAGGTTTCGACTGCAAACTTCAACATGACGATTAAATAAAATTAAGCTAAGATTTTTTTTTTTTTACCGTACTTTAAAAGTATAAAGACTGAGTTTTCAGCTCATTGTAAGAATATTATTGGTAAGAACCGCATCAGACTGAAGTGGGAAATAATTTTGCAGGAATTGAGTCGCACGGCTCTGCCATTAAAGAAAAAGACGAGAAACAAATGCAACGCTATTATTTAAAATTACATAATGGAGACTGATGCGTATGAGTGGTGTGCAGAAAACCTAATAATCTCAGTGGATAATTTAAAAAAAATGTCATAAAAATGGTCGACCAACAATATTGATGTCAACAGATTATCCTAATCTATTCAGCAGTTGATCACCTCAACTTTGCCAAAAAGTCACAATTATCAACTAAATCAACGATTTATTTTGATCAACTTAATGCAATGCACTTCCTGCCTTTTCAGTTCACTTACATTATTGTTTAAATATTATAATGTTTGTAGGCTAAATGAGTTCCATGCAATGATTTATGTGTGTTTAGGACTGATGATTTTTGAGATGCAAACATATTTTTGTAGTTAATAGAGTTGGCATATTGTGTGGATGCCTGTACGTATTGTCTTGCTCCGATTGCTAAACTTTACCTGAGCAAAGGGAAACGTAATACTAAAAGTTATAGCGTGAAGTTATTGTTTTGCATTAAATAGAAAATGCTTACTGAAAAGTTTTGCTTCTTATGTTTGCAGTATGAATTTTCCCCTCAAACGCTGTGTTGCTACGGCAAGCAGCTCTGCACCATACCAACTGGAGGAACTTACTACAGTTACCAGAACAGGTAGCTATAGATGTTTATTTTTGCACTAACAGATGGTTTTGCTCTATAGTAGAAGCTAAAAACATTTGCTTCCATTTTAATTCTGACTGAATACGTGTATACGGTTATATGATTTTTAAAAAAATTTTAAGCAGTGGTTCCCAGCTGTGGTCCTTGAGGAACACCGTCCTGCATGTTTTACCTGTTTCCCTGCTTTGACGCACCTAATTTGAATGAATGGGTGATTAACCGGCTTCTGCAGAACTTTGTGGAAGTAATTAAATCACTGAATGAGTGTTGGAGACGAGAAACAACTGAAACATTCAGGATGGTGTTCCTCAGGGACCCGGGTTGGGAACCACAGGATATAAAACTAAATAAATGCAAGCCTTTAAATTGTGTTGCTCATCCCCTGGATTATCCAGTCTGTTCATCATTAGCTATAGAGGGGTTGCTGCGATCCATGTGCTGCTGGCTTTCTAGCCACAATACTTTTAACGCTTCTCTCTCCTAGTCCTGAAACAGCCAGACAATACAATTTTTTTTTTACAATATTTAATTCTTGTCAAGTTTCCAATATCTGTTCATGAGAACACTTAATGCTCTAAACTCCAGTGTGTTTGTTGTTTTTGCCTGTGTTTACGTAGAGACTTGAATTATTTCAGGGCAGCTGTCCCCCCTCTCTTGTAATAATAATAAAAACTGCAGTTGAAAATGTGGCACATTAATTGCCCACGTTGTGTGTTTTTGCTCCCCTTGCTGTATGAACTGTGCAACTGCAACCCCGTCAGCCACTGTGGGAGTGCATCGGTGGTAGAAAAGAAACAAGAGTCGGGCTCAAGCAACACAGTCCGTTTGCACTCTGAATGGGAGCTGAAGGGTTCCCTGCTGTCAGTTATAAAACATGCAATACGTAGTGGAGTTTGGAAGTCACAAACGAGCATCTCAAATCACAGAATTGTTTAGTTAGCATACTGTCTGCTAATAGATTTCAATAGCTGCTCCTGTTTTTTGTCTTTCAGCTACATTTTTACCTTTAAATGTGCTGAATGTCTTTTCTTACAGGTATCATTTCTGTGAAAAATGCTTCAATGAGATCCAGGGGGACAGTGTGACATTAGGAGACGATCCTGCACAACCACAAACGTAAGAAAAATGCTTGTTAATGAACTGTACCCTCATTCAAAACCCCAGCTTTAATTTAACAAAGTACTTTTTAGAATAAGGGTTCGAATAATGAACAAAGGTCCGGCATGAAATATTGAAGTCCTTGGCTGTTTGAATCGTGGCATTAAAATGGCGATTGCATGTTGATCTAAAAAAAGAAACAACTTGCCTTTTCACGATATACTTTTTTGTTGGATTTAAATGTCAAATGTATACATGTGTGTACAGAAACATTCTCTTGCATAAAAATGTATTCATTTCTATATTTCTTTCTTGGCTTGGTGGACACTTCAGAATGATATCAAAAGACCAGTTCGAACGCAAGAAGAATGACGTTCTTGACCCTGAACCGTAAGTAGACCGCCGCCTTCAAGTCCTGGTCTTTGAGATAAATACTGACAAACTATGTTTTTGTCTTAGCTTCTTTTAAAGAAATCCGTGCGACAAGTCCACGTTCTACTGTTATTTACACAGCTGTTGCTAATTATTTATTTATATTTTTTTAATTGCCACGCATCTGGCTTTTTTGTTTTTACTTTTTTTGTTTGTTTGTTTCAGTCACTTCGTATTTACAAAATCTCTTGTGCAGCAGTATACCAGCAAAGTTTGTCACCAGCTCTTTCAGAACTCTCCTTCCATTGAAAGTTTTTATTTAAACACAAGACCTTTTTACTTTTTATGATTCCATGCTGTACCTTTACATAATTTTGTAACCTAATAAGAGGTAGTCTTTACCCTAAACCAGGGGTCTGCAACCTGTGGCTCTTTAGTCCCTCATCTCTTTGAAGCGTTAACCAAAATTTACAAGAAAATTAATTGTTCTGGTTTTTATAGCCACAACAAAAAAGGCTTGTTTTGGCTGAATTTGTCCATTTTCTGCAAATGTCTGAGCGACAGTACTGCTTTTGCTTCATTACTTGAAATTGGGATGCTTACCATATTTTTCGGACTATAAGGCGCACGTAAAATCCTTTAATTTTCTCAAAAATTGACAGTGAGCCTTATGTGTTAATTTTGGTTGTGCTTACTGACCTCGAACAGATTTTTTGTGATACAACTGAACAGTGGTGAATGAGTTGAATAAAGTTCGACTTGTCTGGCTGTTTTGTTTTGCTTAATGCGCCTTATAGTCTGAAAAATACGGTAATCCCTCCTCACATAAAAGGCCTGCAGAGTTCACTGTTTTCATTTTCGTTTAAAGGTAGAAACTAGAAGTTTTTATTTCTTACATCATTTTTTTTTTTTTTTTGGTCCCAAAATGTGAAAACGTCAATAAAATGTTGAAATTCATTATTGATTATTAGTTTTAAAATATCACCCTCAACTGGTCAGAAAAGCCCCTTCCAACTAACTCAAAGTGGCCCATGGGCCACCAGTTGATCATCACAGTTGTAGCAGGTTTTGCGGCTCCGGGCTCTTTTTTTATTTATTTAATGAGTGAAGGACCATAAATGTCTCTTTGATCAAAAAGGTTGCAGACCCCTACCCTAAACCTTCCACAGGGGTGCTCTTCCTTTGGCTGACATACAAGAATATAACCCCTAGAAGAAATAAAATCTAAATGGGACTTTTTTTTTTTGTGCAAATTTAACGAAGATCAAGAAAGACAGTTGTGGACACAGGAACTGGAATTTTGCAGTGTTGTCATATATGTCAATGGTGGTCTTCTATCACCACAGAATGTTGCATTTATTGTCTTTGTTTGTTTTTTTGTAGGACCATGTCAGAACTTCCTTTTGATTTAATTGTTAGGTCTCTTATTACTCTACATGTTTTTTTTCCCAGGTTTGTTGAATGTAAAGACTGTGGACGTAAGATGCACCAGATATGCGTATTACACTACGAAGTTATTTGGCCATCTGGGTGAGACGTTGCTTTTTTATAGATTTGCTGGTTAGATTGATATTTTTCGCAATTTGAGTCAATAGAAACGAAAACTTTCTGTCTTTAGGTTCATCTGTGACAATTGTTTGAAGAAGAGTGCAAAAACACGGAAGGACAACAAGTTCACAGCAAAAAGTTAGTAGTTATTGCTATTTTTTGTAAATGGATAAACTTTTCCTGGGATGTTTTTTACAGTGCTGAAATTGTAAAGATGGTTGCACTTGTTTTACAAGATCATATAGAGCACACGGACAGCATCTGTGTCCCCAGCTGTGCATGCAGGGGTGGACTTGTAATGTGTGTGAATGTAATAATGTGTAATCTAATAGTGAACGCTTCACAAGCATTCACACTATTGTGATCCATTTTTCTTCCGTACGTTTTCAAGCTATTTCAACAAATCATAAATCAAAACGTTCAGCTCGTTCAGGACAATCCTGCTATGACTTTTGGTATTGGTGCAACTTTAGCTTTTTTAAATATTTAGCCTTTTCTGACATTTTTTTCATACAAAATGAATTGAGCTGATTTTCCATCCTTCATATCTTTAGATCTGTTTACAACCTGTTACTGCTCCTTTCACATTTTGTTCTGCTTCAGCTTCTTTCAGCTTCCTTCTGCAAATGTACATTTCTTTCCAGCTAGTTTCAGCTGTTTTGTGCTCCTTTCAGATTCTTTCTGCTAACTAAAACATTTCTGTGCGTCTTAATTTCTTTCAACTAGTTTCAGCTTGTTGTGCTCCTTTCAGCTTGTCATGGACGGGCTGTACTGAAATGTAATTTCATTGTGCTTATGTGCAATGACAATAGATTCTGATTCAGCTTATTTCTGCAAGTTTCAGCTTTTTCTGCAGTTACAGCTACTATTTAGCTGTTTTTATGCTAATTTTAGCTTTTTCAGCTAATTCCACATTTGCACTCATTTCAGCTTTTTTCAGCCTAATTCAGCAAAAATTGTGCTCTCTCCACTTTCTGGTCATTTAAGCCTCTTTCTGCTTTTTTAGCTCCTTTTCAGCTGTTTTTGGCAAATTTCTTTTTTTTGTGTGTGTGCATTTTGCTTTTTGGATAATTTCCACTTTTTGTGCTCATTTCTGCTTCTTTCAGCTTATTTGGGCAAACATGTTCTGTCTGCTTCTGCTTATTTAAGCTTGTTTTACCTTTTCAGCTACCTTTTTAGCAATGTTAGCTAATTTCAGCAGTTTTTTTGGTAAATTCAAGTTTTTCGTAGTAATTTCTGCTACTTTCTGCCTAATTAACTTCTTTTTGCTCATTTCAGCTCGTTATGCTCCTTTCAGCATATTTCTGCAAGTTTCAGCTGCATTTTCAGCTAATTCCACTTTCCTAATTCCTCATTTTTGTGCTCACTTCTACTTATTTAAACCTAATTCTGCACAAATGTGTTACTGTATTTCTGCTTTCTTCTGCTAATTTAAAATTGTTCTTCCATTTCAGCATGTTTTTAGCTTTTTTCCAGCTGTTTTTCCAGCAAATTTTTCAGCAATAAGCAATATTTCCCCAGGAAATGCAGTTCCTACAATTTAGTTGTTGTTGGTTTTGTGGTTTGACTGCTGGCTCGTATCCCCAAAGTTTTAGCTCTGACGGCAGTAATTTGTAACTTGATCCCACATAAACAATCGGTATCGTACGACTGTATAGCTTTTTATTAGAGGCGCACCGATAAATTGGCCGGCTGATTTATCGGCTCTGATTTCCTTAATTTTGGGAAATCGGACGATACTTGCATGAGAAATGAATTTTATCTAATTTTTTTGTTTTAACAGCAATTGTCTGAACTTCATTTATATTTCAGAGCACTGCCTCATGACAAGTTAAAACAAGTTTGAATTGTTTTTAGGATATTGTTCAAGGGTCTGTTTTTCAATAAAATAATATTGGAAACTTGAAGGTGCATTGTGAACTTATAACACCTGACTTATAAAACAAAATCGGTATCAGCCAAAATTGGAATGGGCAGGTCAGACTTTTTAGAAATCAGTGATCGGCCAGAAAACTGCAGTCGGCGCGCCCCTACTTGTTCCGTTTTCCTAACTTGACGACGACTGAAGGATGTTTTGAAGTATTAATGCTATTCCTTATTTTCTCATAACTAAAGATCTGCGTGTGTGTGTGTTCACTGTAGGGCTGCAGTCCACACGACTGGGAATGCACATAGAGGACCGTGTGAATAAATACTTGAAAAGACAGAACCACCTGGAAGCCGGAGAAGTGTTTGTGCGAGTGGTCGCAAGCTCTGACAAAACGGTGGAAGTCAAACCCGGCATGAAAACCAGGTAATGTAACCAAAGTCTGCAGAATGAGGCGTTTCTCCGTTTCCATTCCAAGTAGTGATTTTTGTCTGTTCTTCATTTCTTAACATTTCTGTGGACGATTAAATGAACAGCCAAGACTCGACTGTAAAATACCGGACTTGACCTGTCGTGACTTGATGATGAACCGTCACAGATTGTTTTTCTCCTCGGCTTATTTTATTGTTGCTTCCATGCAGATCTGAATGCCATCCATAAACATTTTTATACCCACTCAAGAGTAACTAGAATTTCACAGGACGATTGCCCACCCTTCCTGAGACACTGAGACCTGTTTATAGTTTTATTGCTCTAGATGAAAGTTTTCCACTTTTGTGCCATCCTTTTAGGAGCTTGTTATCTTTAACTGATTTCAACCTGTTTGCTTTTGTCTAAAGGTCACTTGACTTCCCTTTCTTGAACAGCTCCTGCCACTTGTTTCCGACGACTTTGTAGAAGAATTTTTTTGGATTAAACATCATTTGTTAAATATTTTACGCTGCACTTGAAGACTTTAATATGTCACTGTTGTGAAAAAGCTGACGGGCAAACAATTAATGTGCGACTGTGTTAAAATATGCCTCTTCTGTCAGACTTTATTTACATCTTTCCTCTTGTGATTACAATAGGTTTGTGGACACTGGTGAAATGCCTGAGACCTTCCCTTACAGAACCAAAGCACTTTTTGCATTTGAGGAAATTGATGGAGTGGACGTGTGCTTCTTTGGCATGCACGTGCAAGAGTATGGCTCTGAATGCGCATTTCCCAACACTAGGTTTGATTTTTATTTTATTTTTTTATATACACATACTTAATTGAATTACCTGCAAGTATAAAACAAACTAATGTGAAATATTTTCTTTCGACTTGTTCAGGCGGGTCTACATATCGTATCTCGACAGTATTCACTTCTTCCGACCTCGAGTTCTGCGAACAGCGGTGTACCACGAGATCCTCATTGGCTATCTTGAATATGTCAAAAAACTTGGGTAGGGCCTTCACTTGGATTTGTCTGTCTTGGCTTTTTGAAAGCTTTTAAAAAGAGGCCAGCAGGTATTTTAATGTCTGCACGGTTTGATTTACGTCTTGGTTTGTGTGAAGGTACACGCAGGGCCACATCTGGGCGTGTCCACCCAGTGAAGGCGATGACTACATCTTCCACTGCCATCCACCTGAACAGAAGATCCCAAAGCCGAAGAGACTGCAGGAGTGGTACCGCAAGATGCTGGACAAGGCTTTTGCTGAGAGGATCTTGCATGACTATAAGGTATTTTTTTAAGTACTAATCAAAGATGGTAGTTTTACTAAAGAGGCCAGTTCTTATCACATGTTGGTCTCAGTATGAATAGAGCTGTAGCTTTACAAACGATAAAACCTTACTGATAGACTTTAAAGGTATGATTGTTGAGGCTGCTCGTGTTGTCATTATGGTTTTGTTTAATTAACTTCTGCATAGTCTAATCCAGGGGTTCTCAAACTGGTGTCCCTGAAGCCCCCTGGGTTCACGAGCCGGTGCTTGGGGGTCCTCAAAATTTTTATTAATTTATTTTTTACAAGCACGTAGGACCCACCCCCACTCCACCCACTATTTGCGTTCCGTCATCGATCAGTTTACAAATTAAATCCTGTAACTTGACATTGGTTCAGTTTTATATAGAGTTTTCTGTAATACCTTTATTTGAAGAAGTAACAATACATTTATGTTCATTATGTGAAAAAGTAAAGTTCTAAAGTGGTTTTTGATTCTGTTAATTTTCTCAAAACTGAATTTTTTTACTTTTTATTGAAATTGGTTTTTTTTTTGTTAATGAAGTGTCTTGAATGAAAAATACCCCAAGTTTAAAAGTATCAAAATTGTCTTAACACTATTAAAGAACATGTCTTAAGTATTAATGTTACACAAGAGACAAATTAAAGAAAATTATTTAATAAACATGAGGGTTATGAGGGGGTCCCTGAAACTTTTTCTCCCCTGTAAGGGGTTCCTGAAACCCAAAAGGTTTGAGAACCACTGGTCTGATCCACCGATAGCGATTCTCCGTTTTAGTTAAAGGCCAGATACTAAAGAGTTTGTGAACCGTGTCCTAAAATAATGTAGATTTTATCATGTTGGATGGTAAATATTGTGTTTTTCTCAGGACATTTTCAAACAGGCGACTGAGGACCGACTGACCAGCGCCAACGAGCTGCCGTACTTTGAAGGCGACTTCTGGCCAAATGTGCTAGAGGAGAGCATTAAGGAGCTGGAGCAGGAGGAAGAGGAGAGGAAGAAGGAAGAGAACACAGCTGCTTCTGAAATTCCAGAGGTACAAACATGTTACCAGAGTCTGGTGAGGAACGCATGTAGCTATTTGTATACCAGTCATTTGTGTTGTGTACAGTCGTAAAATATTTTGGTTTTAGTTCATTTTTTTTAGTTTGATTTGGTAAATTAAGGACAACAGAAGTTTCTCAGAGTAACCAGTTCTTATACGTAAAACAGTAAAATTTTCTGATGATCATATTTATTTAATGTGTTGTGTTTGTATCTTTCAGGGCACACCGAGTGACAGCAAAAACGCTAAGAAAAAGAACAATAAGAAGACCAATAAAAACAAAAGCAGTGTGAGCCGAGCCAATAAGAAGAAGCCTGGGATGCCGAATGTAGCTAATGATCTGTCTCAGAAGTTGTACTCCACCATGGAGAAGCACAAAGAGGTCAGATTGGTTTCTTTCAGAACATTTATTGTCACTGGAAGCCATTGGTGGTGATCATTTATTTAATGGATTTATGTTTATTTAAAGTTTGAGTAATTGGGAAAAACATATGAGCCTGAAATTTAGTTTCCAAAATGGCTGAAGATGGGAAAATCTAAAAAAATAAAAGCTCAAAATTTTTATCTAATTTATGGATGCCTCATCAAATTGTAGGCCTGCTAATAGCTTTGTTCTTCTGAATGTTTCAGTTTTCAAACCTTCCCAAATACCTGAAACAACTTCTTCTTGACTAGTAAACTATCTTTCTAAAGATGGAACATTTTAACAAAAATTTGAGTCTTGTGATACTTATTGGTTGAAATGTTTCAAGTGAACTCAAGCTTATCTGTTCTTTAGGTGTTCTTTGTGATCCACCTTCATTCTGGACCCATGGCCAACACTTTGCCTCCTATTGTTGACCCCGACCCATTGATCTCATGTGACCTGATGGACGGTCGTGACGCCTTCCTGACTTTGGCGAGGGACAAACACTGGGAGTTCAGCTCCTTGAGGAGGTGCAAGTGGAGCACAATGTGCATGCTGGTCGAGCTGCACAACCAGGGACAGGATCGTTTTGTTTACACCTGCAATGAGTGCAAGCACCACGTGGAGACACGCTGGCACTGTACTGTGTGTGAGGTGAGTTATTCGTGTTTTCACATAAGCTTGTGCCTCAAGACAAATAAATTAAAAAGCAGAAGTTTTAGGTTAAAATATCCGTAAGTTGAAGTTGTGTCAACTCTGTTTTACTCATTTTTCTTAGGACTTTGATCTTTGCATTAATTGCTACAATATGAAGGGCCACGAGCACCAGATGGTGAAGTGGGGTCTTGGCCTGGATGATGACAGTCACGGTCAAGGTGGAGAGGCCTCCAAGAGCCCGCAGGAAAGTAGGCGTTTGAGTATTCAACGTTGTATTCAGTCCCTGGTCCATGCTTGTCAGTGTCGCAATGCCAACTGCGCTCTACCGTCCTGCCAGAAGATGAAAAGAGTGGTGCAGCACACCAAGGGCTGCAAGCGCAAAACTAATGGTGGCTGCCCAGTTTGCAAGCAGCTCATCGCTTTATGTTGTTACCACGCAAAACACTGTCAGGAGAACAAGTGTCCCGTCCCGTTCTGCCTGAATATCAAGCACAAGCTTCGCCAGCAGCAGCTGCAGCACAGGCTCCAGCAGGCCCAGTTAATGAGGAGAAGAATGGCCACGATGCAAGTAAGAACCATGCCGCTACCGTCCCCGCCAGCCACTGCTGCCCCCACCACTCCCACTTCCCATACCCAGCCCAACACTCCTCAGACTCCCCAGCAACCACTTTCCAATCAGCCGCAGACCCCCAACTCATCAGGAGTCATGTCCCCCTCTTTCCCCAGTGCAGCTCGCTCTGTCCAGCCTCAGGCATCAGTTTCCCAGGGCAAGCCTGGGCCCCAGGCCTCCCCTCTACACCAGCAGCAATCTCCTCTCCCCCAACCAACCCAGCCACCTCAACAACGACCTCCCCTTGCTGCAATCAAGATGGCACACCATATAGAGAGGATGGCACAGGCCCAACAGAACTATAGGGTCAACATGAACGGCCTGGCCATGAATCCCCAGCAGCCACAGCAGCGCATGGCAGGACCAGTGCAGCCAACCATGCAGATGGTGCCAGGGCCCCATGGGCCACAGGTTATGCAGCCTAATATGGCCCCAGGACAATGGCCTACAACCACAAGTGCTATGCAGGCAGCTCAAACTCAACAACCAGGCCTTGTCCCAAATCCAAGCCCACAGCAGGTTATGACCATGCAGCGACCCCTTATGGCTGCGGGACAACAAACTTCACAGGTTCAGAGGATGTTAATACCACAACAACCTGGTGCTCGGCCACAAACACCCCAAAGACCTAATACTATACCCCCAACCGCGCTTCAAGACCTTCTCCGCACCCTAAAGTCCCCAAGTTCACCCCAGCAGCAGCAGCAAGTCCTTAACATCCTTAAATCAAACCCTCAGCTAATGGCAGCTTTCATCAAACAACGAACAGCCAAGTATGCAAACCAGCCGCAGCAGCAGCCGCCGCCACCGACAGGTCAACAGCAGCAGCCTGGCATGCCAACCATGCAGACTATGGCTATGCCAGGAGGACCAGTGCAGAGGCCTGGGATGCCACCTCAGCAGCCACAGCAACCTCCTGTGCAGGGCATGGCTGCGTTGGGGCCTCAAGGGCAGCTGATGAACGCAGCAGCGCACAACAATCCACAGATCCAAGAGCTCTACCGTCGACAGCTTTTGCGACAACAGCAGCTGCAGCAGCAGCAGCAACAACAACAACAACAACAGCAGCAGCAGCAACAGCAACATCTTGGTCAGTTCCCTGCTCAGGTGCAGGGGAATCAGGCGATGTACGCTCACCTACGCATGCAGCAGCAGCAACAGCAGCAGCAAATAGCCATGCAGGCTGGTGCAGGATCAACAGGGATACCTATGGGTCAGCTCCCACCAATGGCTCAGATGGCTCAGACTGGTATGGGGATGGACTCCACCCAGAACAACTTACTGCACCACCAACGATTGCTTCAACAGCAACAGCAGGCACAACTCCCCCAGCAGCAGCAGCAGGCTGTCCTCAAGCAGCAGATGAGCTCCCCTGCCCAGCCAAGCCCCATGAGTCCCCAGACCCACCTGCTGGCTGGCCAAAGTCAAGGTGCAGCCCACCTTCCCAACCAGCCTGGACTTGCCAACACCCTAAGCAGTCAGGTTCTCTCCCCCGGACCAGTTCAGTCACCTTGTCCGCCCACACAGCCACATTCCAGCCCCTCACCGCAGGTTCAGAACCAACCCCAGCCCTCACCTCAGCATCCACCTCCACCCCATTCGAGTTCCCCTCACCCAGGGCTCAGCGGGCCACTGCAGTCCATGGACCAGGGACACTTGGGGACACCAGAACAAAGCGCCATGCTACCACAGCTTAACACACCCAACAGAGGAGGACTGAACAATGACTTGGGGTTGGTGGGGGACACCACAGGGGACACTCTGGAGAAGTTTGTGGAGGGGTTGTAGCATTTTTTAAATGGGAGCTAAAGAACTAATTCACTCCCAAAAAATATCCTCTGACTTCTCTCTCCAGTTTTCTCTGACTCTTTCCCAGTAGAGGGCTTGTTTGTTCTTTCTAAGGTTGAGAATGTTTTTGTTCCCGTTTGTTTTGTACCGACGTGTAAAAAGTTTCAGCTGTTCGGGGGGGAAAGAAAATTTGGTCCAGAAGAAATTGACACTTCTAGGGAATGTGATTGTTTCCTAAACCCAAATGTTGGGTTTTTCTTCCTTAAGGTGTTGATGGATTTACGAGTTGCTTCTTAAATAAAATCACAAAGAATATATTTTTTGGTTGAGACCAAATGTGTTCAGTACTCTTTAGTTTTTTATATGGTTTCATGCCTTTCTCTTTTATTCTTTTTTTTTTTTTTTTTTTTAAGAAAATGTACAATTACATTATATCTATCATTCATATCTTTATTTTGTACCTTTGGGAAAAAAAAAAGCATACATGCATTTTGTGTTAATTCTGTAAAATATTTTGTCTGGGAATTGAGGCCAGGTGGTTGTTCCTTTCTCAAGCTGTCATTCCTGGCAATTGTAATCTAGTATTGTCCTGCAAGACGATTTGTTCAGGGACGGCGACTGCTTCCTTCATTTTTGTGCGTATGAAGAGCACTCGGCTGTATTAAAGTAGGAAACGGCTTGCAGCAGGTTGTGTACACATGGGCATGTATGCAGGCACACATGTAGACACTGACAAACCCTCGCAGTCGCTAAGAGGAACACGACTGGTTGCACCAAGATGCAAAACGACGACCGCAACGCAACTCCGTTCAGAAAATCTGTCTTGCCGGTGTAGAAAGTTGTTGCTTTGACATTAAAGAGTTTGTCATACTTTTTCATACAAACGTTGTAAAGTGTAAAGAAAGTGTGAGAAAAAAGAGCAGACCCCTAAGCTGAGGTGGAATGACGACCGGTTGTAGAAAACATCTTAAATGACTCCCAGTCCCCAATTTTTTACACTAAGTCGTGCGCTTCGAAAGAACGAAAGGCACGTTTGAGATTCACCTCGTGGAAAACTTAAAAGTCATCAACCCTCATTCCTCTCGCGAAAACTTGAATTGGGGGCATTTACTTTTTCTCCTATTGTAAATCAAGTTATTACGCAAAATACTATAAATATAAGAGAGAATGAAATCGCTGTATAAACTGGTAAAAGATTCATTTCTTACTTATATACCATATTGTTAAATAAACTGCAACAGAAGAAGTCCAGTACTCTGTTGACTGAATGAGGCAATACTTCTGTTGGTGTGTGTTTGTTTAATTCAGCTCAGGGGTTTCTAGTTTCAACAACAGAGGGTGCAAAAACAAAAGTTGGAGTCATCAAAGAATTAATTTATTCTAAAGTTTTTTTTTTTTCCTTCTGACCTTCAAAGAGTTCAAATTACATCAAAGTTCATTCTCAATAATCCAGGTAAAAAGTCCAAAATTAAGTCGGGTCCTCCGGATGGTTTATTTGTTTAGTTTTCAATGGGATTAACCTGTATAAATAAAGGTTGAATTAATTTTTTGAGACATTTCATCCAAAGGACTTCATCAGAAGTCAATCCAGCACACCAAAGGCTGCAAGTGCAAAACCAGTGGTGGCTGCCCTGTTTGCAAGCAGCTTGTCGCTTTATGTTGTTACCACTCAAAACACTCAGGAGAGCAAGTGGTCTGATGAAGTCCTTTGGATGAACAACGTCTCAACAACGAAAACAGCAAGATGACCTGACTGAACTTTGTTGGGTTTTTACCTGGATTATTGAGCATGAACTTTGATGTTTTGAACCACTTTGGCTATGGCTACCTCAGAGGAGTTGATGGGGAGAGGGCGGACTCCAGAAACCATCTTATCACCATCAAACTGGTTGGTTCACTGTAGGGGTGCTGCTTGTGAGAATGAGTTTGTGGCTCCTCAGACTGATGAAGTCCTTTGGATGACGCATGAAACGTAAAAAAAAAAAACGTCCTGACGACTGAACTTTGTTCAAATTACAATTTGTCATTTGGGATTAATTTATTCGACCACTTCTCTTGAAGACACGAAGGTTACTCTAGTATTGAATTTGGTTTTCTTAGTGTCAGAGATGCAAGTCGTTAATACCGTCGTTTTTAAAAACTCAAAAAAATATTTAAGTCTAAGAAAGGGCCAAGTTGACCCCAACACTTATAACTAAAAATATTGTTTAATAACAAAGGTGTTTTTCTAAAAATACAAGCGTTTAATCTAAAATTAAGGTTTGTGACGGTAGAGTTTTACAGTTGTCTTGAGTTTTTAAGCTTCTACTTAAGAGCTGCAGTGTTTCCATCGCTATTAGAAAATGTTAAACTCTAAAGTCTTGACTCTTCAGCGTCTATGAAAGAAGCATCAACATCCTTTGCCAAAGTCACGGATACAAACCCAGCACCATCACATGATGTGCTCATGGAGGCAGAATGGATGAACCTCTGGCCCTTCATCAGATCAGAGCACCACCTCTGTGAACATGAGGCTTCTCTTTGGCAAAGTAAAAAATTAAGAGGCATTCATGAAGCTTTGTATTGTAGTTCTTGGGAAATGGTTCCACCTTATTAATTGCTTGCCACTAGATACATTGGCAGATTGTGATCCAGTGCAGTTTAAAGATATGAGGACCATTCCATATTTTTATCAGTAGAATAAAATATAAAACAGTTGATATTTTTTTAGGTTGATTGATATGAACTCTTAATGGGTATTCTCGTTTATCTGCATACAAAAAATAATTTCAAAAGGAAATTCAGATTAATCCTTAAATTATATGAAACCAAAACTAAAAAGCAGGCATGGCTGAGCAAACACGAGTCACGTGACAGTGAAGCCATCTCCTATTCGTTGGTTTGACGTCACGTGACCGGAACCGCGATTTAGCGATTGTAAACCGTTTTGAAGTGACATTAAAAAAAGCATTGGGTTCCCGTGTTTTATATGCATTTATTATCAATACATTACGTTATTTGTTTTCTAAAATAAGTTCATCAAGAGACTGTTCAAGTAATGAAGGAGCCAACTTCGGTAAGAACAAGTTAGCACGAGCAGCTAGCATGTAAACTAACCGTGCCCAGCGACGTGTTTAAAAAATACATAGTTAGCAACAAAACATATCAAGCAGAAAATACGTTTGTCTACGTACGGTTCTTTTCAGCCAGTATAGTTTATTTGAATGCGTGAATCTTGTTTTTACAGGCCTGTCTTAAAGGATAGAAACATGCTATTAATGCTAAAGCACAGCAAATTGTCATCATGGACGACTCGGACCAGGATTTTGTGGATATCTACTCGAAATTGCTGAAACGTGCACGCAAGAAAGCGGCTGAGCCCACCAGACAGACCAAGAAACCAGAACAGGCTCTGAGTCAAGTTCAAGGAGACAAGAGGAGGAATCATGAGCAGGTTGCAGCTTCCCAGCCTGTTGGTAAAGCTGAGCAGGAGGAGGTTCGTGGAGGGACTAGATTTGATCCAGGAGAACCTTCTGCTGTGCCCTCAGATCACGGAGCACAATCTGACAGGGATCTGAGGGCAAAAGACAAAGTGCTTCTTAAGATGCAACATTTTAAGAGAGTCAGTCCTCAAAAGATGGTGCACAACATCCATGTAACAAAGCAGGACACCTGTGCTCTCACTGCTCTGCATCAAATACAAGGTAGGCCAGTGGTTTATATCAATATGTTTTTAACATACTTCATTCTCAGTTCACGAAGAAGTTGTGGAGAATTAAATCACTGCAAAATGTTTTGAGCAAAGCTTCAACTTGAGCGAGACTTTCTTGTAAAACTGATCAGTAGTTTTATCGGGTCTTGTTTTCTGTCACAACAGCATAAAGTGCGTGTGCACTTAAACATGGACAAGTAGAGGATGAAATACATGTCAGGCTTTAAGAAACCTGAATCTACAATGGATGATTATTATCAGAAAGTCGTGGGATTAAAATATAGAATCGGAGCGATCCATCATCCTTCATTTGATTTTCTTCTGCGTGCTGTTTTCAAACACAGTAATACGTTGTTGTTGTTTTGTTAATCACCTTGTTAGTGTCAAAATGCCTTTATTTTGGATATTCTCCATAAAATCAACTAAAGGAATGGAAAGTTGTTTTATTTTTTTGTTACAATTGCAAAGTGTCTGAGGATCCTGTTTATAATTAATTTGCCATTGACTCGTGTGTGAAAACACAACACTGGTTTATCCCTTGAGTTAAGGAACCTTTTTGTGCTTGAATAATTCAGAGGTTAGAGTTAAGGGACCTAAACACACACACACACACATATATATATATATACACACACATGCTAACAGGCACTGGACTACAAGTGAGTAAAAAATAAAAATCAATAAAAGTACAAAGAAAAACTTTGAAAGACCTGTAGAAAGTGTGGAAGTCTTGATCCAGACCACTTTAAAATATTACAGGAAATTCAGACTCCTTGAAAGCAGAAATGAAAGGATGACAACTCTTTGCACTCTACTGTATGTGGTCATCTTCTTGATTTTATCTTAAAGCGTCTCCCTTTTAAAATAACATGGAAAAGCTTTACCAATGTATCCTTTACTTGAACTTCTCTCCGATCGCAGATCCTCCGGCGTCTCTGCACTCGGCTCTTCACGCTGACAGCGATGAGGCTCTGGCCCTTCAGCTGCAGCAGCAGCTGGACAGAGAAGCAGCTGAAGCCCAGACCGTAGACTTGGAGGATGGAGGTCTCTTCTTCTGTCAGATCTGTCACAGAGACTTATCACACATGACACCCGAGGGACGCACACAACACCTCAACAGGTATGAACACTTACTGTATGTATCTGCAAGCTGCAATGACAAGCGTCCCACTGTTTTTATGCGGCTGTTATGTAAAAGAATGAAAAGAACAACACACAGCAAGAGTGCATTATCCAGGATTGTGTATGTAAGCCAGCTTTGCAGAATGGAGCAGAAGAGTCTTCATATTGAAAGTTATTTGTCTTAATATGTCTAGACTTCCTTAGAACATGTTTGATTTAATCTACCACAATGTGTAGATTATTTTCTGCATCTTATGTTTTTAAGCATTTAAGCTTCAAGCACAAAAAATGAACACAATCATTTCCATTGACCCGTTTTCTTGGAGTTTTATTGATGTAGGAGAGATTGAATTTTTTTCTTCATTTGAATGGAGACATTGCAGGACAACCACTGGGCTAGAGAATGTGTTTATTGTGTTTGCAGGTGTTTAGACGAAAGTGAAAATAGTGGCCCAGCCACCCCTCCAGCCTCTGCTGTCCCTGACTGTCCCATCTGTGGCAAGAAGTTCAAGTCCCAGAAGAGCCGCGAGGCCCACCTGAAGCGTTGCTCCGCAGACATGGGCGTGTCCGCGGCGATGCTGCTGCAGGCTCTGCAGAGACAGGCTCAGGAGAGTCAGAGTGCTGCCACTGCTAACACACGGTAAGAGCCGCGCAGCCAGTGATGCACATTAATACAGTGAGATCACAGCGGACCTTTAACAGTCAGGTCCATGCGTCTGTTCATTGTGAAGGACGCCTAATTTAACTATGTACAAGTACATAAAAGCTCACTCCAGCTGTTTTCTCTCTTTAGCTTACAGTCTGAAGTTAAAAAAAGAAAAGATCCGCCGAAGTCGGGCGTTCCAGCCAGGAAGAAACCCAGAAAAAAGTTTGAGCCTCTGGATGAAAAGACCATGGTGGCTCTGGCACTGTCCCGCTCCATGGCCGAACAAGAGAAGGAGCTGCACAAAGAAAAGGAGGCAGAGAAACATTTACAGACCGAGTGTGTTCCTCCTCACAGCTCCGTGGATCCAATGTTGAAGTGGAGCCTTGACACAGGTACAGTAACAACACTAAGGATGCCCTGATGCGTGCTCCATAGTCCAGGTAGATAAATCTAACAAGGTTGAGTCAGGTCCTCTGGACTGGTTCTTCAGAAGAGCAACATCATCAGGCCAGGACTCTGCAGTCTACACTCATCTGCAAGTCAGTCACTCTTTCTGGGATGACGATGTGCACATCCTTGATGGCAGTGTTGCCAGATCTCGCGATAGAAACAAGCAACCGGCTCTATGAAAACAAGCCCAACTGGCAACCCACCACATTGTGTAAAACAGAGGCAGTTTTTAAACAATATAAACATACATTTATTATGGCATTACACACAAACAACAGCAAAATTATGCTAAACACTTTGAATAACACACTTTAAAGCTCTGATTAAAAAATTTTTTTGCATATGTAATTTTTTCTACTTATTTTTAAAAACAAAACAAAACATCCTGACATCTGCGTGTGAGTGGAGCCCCCTAGTGGTCGGCCACAGTATGAGTTTGTTTCTGAGTGTGCGCCTTGTCAACTTGGGCAGGAGCGATAAACAGGAAACGGGGGCATGGAAGGGACAAACTACCTACTACCACTCGTCTTTTGCTTTATTGTGCGGAGCTGGGAGATAATAAATCAACTAGTTTCACTCGGAAAGAAAGTCAAGCCCAAATAAGCGACTTCACGTTCAAAACAAGCCCAAAAAACCGCAACACGCGACTCACAAGATTTGTAAGCGACTTTAGAAAAAAACAAGCCCAAAGTCGCTTATAATAAGCGTACCTGGCAACACTGCTTGATGGAGAGAAACGTTGGTTCGAGAGGAGTAAAAGAAGCCATCGTTGTGAAGAGAACCCGCCCATCGTTAAACGGGGGTGGGGGTCTCATGTTCAACTTCCACCCTGTTACAATGTTGTTATTGCTAGTATCACTCTGTGAATAACAAGCGGCCGTCAGGGCACTAACGATCCATCGTTAGGCTCATGGTCCTCCTTGATTATGTGAACAGCTGGTTTTGGCTGTCAGCAGCAAACTGGTTGGTCCACCATGAGAAGGTGCTATTTAAGAGACTGAGTTTAATTAGGAAGCCACCACAACGAGCGTTAAATGGGTCAACTTGTAACTTTACTTACTACTGGAGACATATAAAGTAATCTGCTTCAAAAACTGTTCCAAGTCAGATTTGTGAGACACTTCTTACAAATTTGTGGGTGAGAGCACAAACATCAACTTTGTTTCAGTAAAACTTATTTTCCCAGCATGCAGTTTTGTGATCGGAGGTGAAGCTGAAACTCAATCATCAAAACTTAGTGATTCTAGATTAGATAACACTTTTATTGATCCCTGGAGAAGATTCCTTCAGGCAAATTAGTTTTAAGTCTTAAATATATAGATATATAGATATCGTATATCATGTTTTAAAAATTGTTTTACCATCTTCCGTTTAAATTATTTTTTTAGTCTTATCAAGAAGTGTGTTGTGCAAAAAGACAAAAAGCAGAATTCTCCAGTAGATTTACATGTTTTGGGTTTTGCTTGAATAAACAGGTTTGTTCTGCTAAAAGTTTCTTCCTCATGAGGGAGTTTTTTCTTTCCACTGTCGCCTTCATGCTTGCTCAAGATGGGAGTTCTGCGATGGAGTTAAACTCAGAGCAGTCTGCTCCTCGGATAAATAATGCTAAATTATTATTTTTATATATGAATGTTTCTGGTCAGTGCCCTGAGACGACTTCTGTTGTGACTTGGAGCTCTGTAAATAAACTGAATTGAATTGTTTAAACTGGAAAATGTAAATGCTCATTTGTGTGTTTTGCAACACATTTGTTGTTTTATTTGTTTGCACTTTTGGCAGCGCATGCGTCGATGTAAACCGTCAGAGTTTAAGAGTTCACGGTTCGTTTCTCTCCTGCTCGTGCAGCTAAGGGGCGTGGAAAAAAGAGAAAGGGCACCGTCCCTCGTCCTCCTCCTCTCCTCCTCGTTCAGGATGCTGAGGCGGCCCTGACGAGGATACAGGAACGAGTTTCTGCTCTTCTCCTTCGCTCTCTCTCCCCGGCTCCCCCCACTCCTACGAGAAGCCCCAGCTCTCTGCCCCGCTGGACAGGTGCTGCCCTCCTCTGGGAGAAAAGTGCACTGCTGGATGGAGACGCCACCTGTCTGTCTGACTTCTACTCTGCAGAGCTCAAACAGTTCTTCACGTTGTTGGAGTCAGTTCAGGTGAGAGACATAAATATATTTATGTTGTTGTTAAACAGAGGCTGTTCTGGTGTTTGAGCTTTTGCGTCACATAAACTCCTCACACGGCTCTTCTCATCACCTTGGAGCTCAGCACAGCCGTTACTCTGACATTCAAATGTTCTTAATTTAAATCCAAACTTTTCACGTAGCCAGAAAGAGTTAAATGTTCTTTGACTCAATTCCTAGGCTGATGCAGCTCCGTCCACCACCAACAACAAGCCTGAATGTTTTGTTCAGCTCGTGGATGAAGGAACTCCAGTTTCAGCACAGAGGACCTCCGTCTTGCCAACCTGCTCCCAGATGACCTCCTGCTCCTCGGCCTCCTCCACCCCTGGAGCAGGGCAGCTCCCGGTGGGCAGCCAGGCCCTCAGAGACCTCATGGACTTGGCTGAAGACGGCATGACACTCACACAATATGGATACACCGCTAAAGGTAACGCACAGACACATTTATCGGTGGGTTGAAAGTATTCAAGTAAATGTTGACTCTAAAGCTGACGAGCAAAACTTGTCTGAATGTTTATGAAACATTCACACTGTTGTCATCCGTTTTTCTTCCGTACATTTTTTGGTGCGATTCTCATCGCTCAGTTTTGAAACTATTTCAACAAACCATAAATCAAAATATTCAGCTCTTTCAGAAAAATCCTGCTGTGACTTTTGGTATTGGGGCAGCTTTAGCTGTTTGAAATATTGAGCCTTTTCTGCCATTTTCTTTTCTCACAGAAAATGAATTGAGCTCATTTTACATCCTTCACATCTTTAGATCGGTTCACAACCTTTTACTGCTCCTTTCACATTTTGTTCTGCTTCAGCTTCTTTCAGCTTCCTTGTGCAAATTTAAACTTTTTTTCAGCTACCGCTACTTTTAGCTAATTTCATCTGTTTTGTGCTCCTTTCATGTTTTTTTTTCTGCAAACTACAATATTTTATGCTTCTTATTTATTTTTGCTAATTTCAGCTTGGTATGTTCCTTTCAGCTTATTTCTGCAAGTTTCAGCTTTTTCTGCAATTTCAGCTAATATTTAGCTGTTTTTTTTGCTAAATTTACCTTTTTCAGTTATTCCATATTTGTTGCACCCATTTAAACATTTTTCAGCCTAATTCAGCAAAAATGTGCTCCCTCCACTTCCTTCTGGTAATTTCAGCTTCTTTCTGCTTTTTAGCTGTTTTTTTCTAATTTCAGCTTTTTTCAGCTAATGTCCTTTTTGTGCTCATTTCTGATTCTTCCAGGAAACGTTCTTTCTGCTTTATTCTGTTAATTTTAAGCTTGTTCTACCTTTTCAGCTACTTTTTTTAAGCGTTTTTAGCTAATTTCAGCTGTTTTCAGATACATTTCAAGTTCCTGTGGTAATTTCTGATACCTTCAGCCTAATTAACTTCTTTCTGCTAATTTCAGCTTGTTATGCTCATTTCAGTTTTTTTCTACTAATTTCTGCAATTTCAGCTACTATTCAGCTGTTTTTATTCAAATTTTAGCTTTTTCAGCTAACTCAACATTTTCTTAACTCGTTTCAGCTCTTTACGCTTCATTCTGGTACTTCAAGCTTTGTCTGAGACACCAAATGTTGTTTTTTCATTATTTGTAAGCCGTAATAATCAAAATTACAGGAAGTAAAGGCACGAAATGTTTCACTCCACGTTCGTTCAACCTGTATTTCTTATTGTATATATAATTGTTTTGTTTTTAAAACATGATCAACTTTCTAATAATAATAATAATTTGTACAGGTTAATCCCATTGAGCCTCGGGGACTCATTTACAAGAGAGACCTGGTTTTAACAAAGTGATGACAACAGTGGACAATCATAAAAGGATGCGTACAAATTGAGAATAACAAGTGAAAAAATTGTATTAAAAATAAAACGGCTAAGTTGTTGGGCGGAAAAAAATGTAACAAAAAAACAGCTAGAAAAATGAATAATAACGTGTAATGAATGTAAATAATGTGCGAGTTTCACTTTTTGAAATGATTAACAAAAAATAGAACTTTTTCTCAATATTCAACTTTTATTTTAAGATGCACCTGTATTGGTAATTAAATGTCAAAAGTCTTAATGGAACGACTGGGCCGTCAGTTTTGATCAGGTCACGTCTGTTTCTGCAGAAACTCTCCTGAGTGACTTCATCCAGGAGAAGTCGGAGCGTCGGGCAGAACTCGGCGTCAGCGGTTTCCTGTTGGAAACGACACACAAACCCTCAGATGACCCCCAGAGGCGAGAGAGGACGACAAATCAGCCAGAAGCCGACGCTGAAAGAAGCAGCTACAGACCAGTAAGAAGTTCAAAATGTTACATTTATGATCTCTGAACAAAACATTGTGGGAAATTTGATGTCGCATAACTTAAAGCTTATCTTCAGTTCTAGTGTGTTATATCTTCGGAGTACTTAATTGTAAAATATTTTCAGATATTATCTGTCACTTTATTTAAATATCACTTTACTGTGTCTTGTCTACATTTTAACAGATAATAACCCTTATAATTATTAAGACGCTGCAGAATTCAATTTGCAACAATATTGTGCAAAGTCCCTCCAACAAGGAGCTCAGTGGGATGTTTTGGTGTTTCCCCTGTAGGTGGCGCTGTCCAGGCTCGTGTCTGACGTGAGCAGCATGGTGAACAACCCTCAGCTCAGTGATGTGCAGCTCCAGGTGGACAGTGGACAAGTCTTCTTTGCTCATTCCTTCATGGTGTACGCGCGCTGTCCCCTGCTGGCAGAAATGGTGATTTGTTTATTTTTTTATTTATTTATAGGTTTAAAATGAAACTCAAGGTCGAAGGATTATTGGGATACAGTTAGGGCTGCAACTAACGATTATTTCAATAATCGATTCATGGGCCGATTATTTTTTTGATTAATCGATGAATCGGCAAAAAAAATTGTTGTAATTTCCACCCCTTTATTCCAAAATTGAACATTTGACTGACATAGCAATTCGCACAAAAAACAGGTTGCTATTTGACTATTCTGTTAGTAAAATATTGAATAATAAAAAATAAAAGTTAGTAAAATAGCTTAAAAAAATAAATGTACACAAAAATATCTACAAACCGGATTCCAAAAAAGTTGGGACAATAAACAAACTGTGAATAAAAACTGAATGCAATGATGTGGAGGTGCCAACATGTAATATTTTATTCAGAATAGAACACAAATCACAGATCAAGAGTTTAAACTGAGAGAATGTATCATTTTAAGGGAAAAATCTGTTGTCTCCAAATTTCATGGCGTCAACAAATCCCAAAAAAGTTGGGACAAGTCCATTTTTACCACTGTGAGGCATCCCCCCTTCTTACAACACTCAACAGACGTCTGGGGACAGAGGAGACCAGTTTCTCAAGTTTAGAAATAGGAATGCTCTCCCAGTCATGTCTAATACAGGCCTCTAACTGTTCAATCGTCTTGGGCCTTCTTTGTCGCACCTTCCTCTTTATGATGCGCCAAATGTTCTCTATAGGTGAAAGATCTGGACTGCAGGCTGGCCATTTCAGTACCTGGATCCTTCTCCTACGTAGCCATGATGTTGTGATTGCTGCAGAATGTGGTCTGGCATTATGGTGTTGAAAAATGCAGGGTCTTCCCTGAAAGAGATGACGTCTAGATGGGAGCATATGTTGTTCTAGAACCTGAACATAGTTCTCTGCATTAATGGTGCCTTTCCAGACATGCAAGCTGCCCATGCCACAAGCGCTCATGCAACCCCATACCCATACCCCAGTGATGCAGGCTTCTGAACGGAGCGTTGATAACAACTTGGGCTATCCTTGTCCTCTCTGGTCCGGATGACATGGCGTCCCAGTGTTCCATAAAGAACTTCAAACTGTGACTCATCTGACCACAGAACAGTCTTCCATTTTGCCACACTCCATTTTAAATGACCCCTGACCCATTGCAAACGTCTGAGCTTGTGGAGCTTGCTTAGAAATGGCTTCCTCTTTGCACTGTAGAGTTTCAGCTGGCAACGGCGGATGGCACGGTGGATTGTGTTCACTGACAATGCTTTCTGGAAGTATGCCTGAGCCCATTCTGTTATTTCCTTGACAGTGACATTCCTGTTTGAGGTGCAGTGACGTTTAAGGGCCCGGAGATCACGAGCATCCAGTAGAGTTTTACGGCCTTGACCCTTACGCACAGTGATTGTTCCAGATTCTCTGAATCTTTTGATGATGTTATGCACGGTTGATGATGATAACTTAAAAGTCTTTGCTATTTTATGCTGGGTAACACCATTCTGGTATTGCTGCACTATCTTTCTGTGCAACAATGGTGGAATTGGTGATCCTCTTACCATCTTGGCTTCTGAGAGACACTGACACTCTGAGAAGCTCTTTTTATACCCAATCATGTTGTCAATTGACCTAATTAGTGTTAATTGGTCTTCCAGCTGTTCGTTATATGCTCAATTTCCTTTTTCCAGCCACTTATTGCTACTTGTCCCAACTTTTTGGGGATTTGTTGACATTATGAAATTTTGAATCAACATATTTTTCCTTTAAAATGTTACATTTACTCAGATTAAACTTTTGATCTGTCATCTATGTGTTAGGCCATTCAGTAACCATGAATGAGAGAGGTAATCATGAAGGCGTGTGGGATTCACTCCTGTTTTATTTATTTATTTATTTTTTCTCAACCTTTACTTATACAGGTTGGTCTCACTGAGTCACGAGACTCATTTTCAGGAGAGACGTGTTCGTGTGGAAAATAAAGATAAAATCTGAAACGCCGTCTGGTGGTTGAATCTAGATCTACAACAAGAGCTGCACATCTCTCACAGAAGCTGCGTCCTGCCTCTCATGTTACAACGTGAACATCTGCGGCGTATAGCTGTACAAAATTGATTGATTTTTAAATTAAAATAATAATAATTTGTGTGTGTGTGCACGGCTTATATTTGGGTGCGCTGTATATACCGGCAATTACGGTAGTTTAAGAGCTTGTTTGAGTGACTTCACTCACTGCCAAGTCTAAATTTCAGACAAAACACACTTCGACACTGTCCATGAAACTATTTTGAAATGAAGCTGAAATGTAGCCACTTTGGTGTACTGAAGAGCAAAGTTTGAGCTGTTTGTTTAGTTTAAGACAAAAACTTGTTCAGTTGTACCGTCAGGACTTTGACTTTTTGTCATTTAGTCCTTCCTGGATTTTCTGCTTCGCTTGCAGGTGCATGAAAGTGGGATCGGTGTGAAGGAGGAGGACGTGCCCGCAGCTCAGAGGGTGTTGCTGAGCGACGTGCCGGGCCAGGCGGTGTTCGCTCTCCTGCAGTACCTCTACACAGCCCACTGCTCCGTCCCAGCGGCACTGCAGCCTCACATGCTAGAGCTGGCGTCCAGGTTAGTTTACTACGCAGTAGTGGTGTAAGGGTACATGAATTCATTTCATTTTAGCCATCCTATTTGTTAAAAAAAAAAAAAAAACTAGTATGCTTTTTTATAACTGTTTATTGTTGTTGCTGTTGTCCATTGTTGTCATCATTCTTTGTTGAAATCAGGTCTCTCTTGTAAATGAGTCCTCGAGGCTCAATGGGATTTACCTGTATAAATAAAGGTTGATTGATTGATTATTCTTCTCTTTCTGGGGGAATAATCAAAATTAGCTTTTGCCCTCTGCTTTTGTTCTCTGTTGTAACAAACCTGCACCTGAACATGGCTTGGATTTATGGTTACAGCGCTATATTATATTATATTATATTATATTATATTATATTATATTATATTATATTATATTATATTATATTATATTATATTATATTATAAAACAAGAAGTCAGAACAACCTGAGGAATTTTTTTTTATGTACAGTACAGTTTTATTTATACACATCCTGTTTATATTTATTATTATTGTTACTATCCCAGGCAGCACGGTGGCGCAACTGGTAGAGCTGCTGCCTCTCAGCGAGCAGGTCCCTGGTTCAAACCCCGGTCCAGGGGCCTTTCTGGGTGGAGTTTGCATGTTCTCTCCGTGTATGCGTGGGTTTTCTCCGGGTACTCCAGTTTCCTCCCACAGACCAAAAACATGCATGTTAGGCTGATTGGTAACTCTAAATTGTCCCTAGGTGAGAGTGAGAGAGTGAATGGTTGTTTGTCTCATTTGTCTCTATGTGTCCCTGTGATGGACTTGCGACCCGTCCAGGGTGTACCCCGCCCCTCGCACAGTGATTGCTGGACATGGGCACCAGCGACCCCCGTGACCCAAAATGGAATAAACGGGTAAAGATAATGGATGGATGGATGGATGTTACTATCCCTATTCGAGGGGCGCTATGACGTTTGGTATTGGTGCAACTTTACCATTTTGTAATATTTAGTTTTTTCTACCATAAATGAATTGAGCTCATTTTACATCCTTCATATATTTTGATCTGTTTACAACCTTTTACTGTTCCTCCTTTCACATTTTGTTCTCGTTCAGCTTCTTTCAGCTTCCTTGTGCAAAAAATAATCAGCTACTTTCAGTTATTTCTTCAGCTGTTTTGTACTTCTTCTAACTTCTTTCTGCTTATTTCAGCTTGTTATGCTCCTTTCAGCTTAATTCTGCAAGTTTAAACTATTTCTACTATTTCAGCTACTATTTAGCTGTTTTATGCTAATTTCAGCTTTTTCTGCTAATTCCACATTTTTTTGCTATATTTTTAACTTTTCAGCCTGATTCATCACACTCCACTTGCTTTTGGTAATTTAAGCTTCTTTCTGCCTTTTTTTTTTAGCTACTATTAAGTTGTTTATTGCAAATTTCTACTTCATTCAGATAATTTCCACCTTTTTGTGCTTATTTCTGTTTCTTTAAGCCTAATTGGGCACAGTTGTGCTCTTTGCACTTCCTTTTGCTAATGTAAGTTTATTTCTACATATAAAAAATTAATATTCAGCTACTTTCAGCTTATTTTAGCTGTTTTGTGCTCCTTTATGCTTTATGCTGCTAACTTCAACACTTTTCTGCTTCTTCAAACTTCTTTCTGCTAATTTCTACTTGTTATGCTCCTTTGTGCTTATTTCTGCTATTTCAGCTACTATTTAGCTGTTTTCATGCTAATTTAGGCTTTTTTGAAAGCAAGTGCCACATTTTTGCATTCATTTCAGCTTTTTCCAGCCTAATTCTGCAAGAATGTGCTCTCTCCACTTCTAATAAAGTTAAGCTTCTTTTTGCTTTTTTAGCTACTCTTCAGCTGTTTTTTTTTGCTAATTTCTGTTTTGTTTTTTTTCAGATAATTTTTAACTTTTTTATGCTCCTTTGTGCTTCTTTCAGCCTAATTGGGCAAACTTGTGCTCTTTCTGATTCCTTCTGCTAACTTAAGCTTCTTTCAGCTTCTTTAGTATTCAGCTGTTTTCTGCAATTTCTTCAGCAATAACTCTGCATTTTAACAGGAAATGTTATTTCTCTAGTTGTCTCTGAGCTTCAGTCTGTGTCATTTTGTTTAGTTTGTTTTTTTGTTTATGTCCAGCAGAGGCACCAACTTCTGTCTCTGCTTCAAGTCAAATCTTCTTTATTTGATGGGACTTTTGAGCCCCTGGAATTATTTATATATATTTTAATGCTTGAATATCTTCATCATGTGACAGACCGTCGTTTTTCTGACTTGTTTTTAAGGTTCGACTTGCAGGAACTGGAGCAGCTTTGTCATCTCCAGCAGGAGGCAGAAGACGTGGGAGACGACGTTCTCCACATGAACCAGGAGGAAACCGCCGCCAACCAAACGGACCAGGCGTTCATGGAGCTCCTCCGGTCTATGTGGAGCGGAGAGGATGAAGATGTAACGAATCCAGACGGAGGAGGACGGCTGGAGGAGACTGAGCGATCTCATGAGGTCACCTCAGGTGACAGAGAGCTGGGTGAGGAACGAGTGAACGAAGAAGAGCTGGAAGAAATCTACGAGTTTGCCGCCACGCAGAAGCAGAAGAAGGAGGAAGACAGCGAAGAGGAAGAGGAGGATGAGGACCAAAGTGGAGACGTGGTGTTTACCAAACTGACTGAACCCCAACATGGGCGTGGTGACAAATATCTCTTCTCAGAGTCATGGGGGGTCTACGAGGGAGATCGTTCCTCTGGCACACCTAAAACACATCCTGTTCCATCCAAACACCAGACTCCCTGGAAACCATCGTCCAGACAGTCTGCCACGACTTTACTTCAATCTTCAGAAAGTTTAGAAGACCTGTCGGTCTGCCCTCCTCTCGTTACGTCCAACCTGCCCATCACTGGACTGTCTCCTGGTCCAGGAGGTGACCAGGAGGACGGTGAACCCACGAGGAGAGATGCTGTGGAATCACAGGTGCCTACAAAGCTAGAAAGCCTGGTTCCTCCTCCTGAGTCCCCTTTAAAGAAGGAGGAGCCTGAGCTCATAGTTCTGTCTGACTCCAGTGAGGAGATGGATGTGGCTGTTGCTGTTCTCCACCCCTGCAGGCTTTCCTCCACCCAGAACCAGCAGAGCTACACAGAGCTCAGATCCAGGCCGGACCCAACGCCCAGCGAGGACAAAGAGTCCAGGAATTTAGAGCCAAGTCCTGATGATCCACGAGACTGTTCTCCAGAGGTTTCCTGGCTGATCCCCTCCACTCCTCTTCAGTCCCACAGAAGCTCCAGGTCCAGTTCCTCTCAGACCAAAAGCAGCATGTACAGAACACAGCTGTTCCCCAAAGGTGAATCTTCACCGCCCTCCTCTTCAGTTTTCTTCTCTCCCGCTTCTTTAACTTTTAATAACGAGCTCCACGCCTCAAATAAACCACAAGTTCCAGCGCGTGCAACCGCGAGGCTCAAACCGAGCGCGTCTCCTCCGAGGAGCTTCGATGGAAAAGCTCGTCTCAGAAAAACGGACGCGAGTCAGAACAAAGACGTGTCTGCAGTTAGCTCGTCACGCTTCTCCCTCCCAGTCGTCTCAAAGCAAGAAACTCCTTCTGGGCTGCAGCCTCCGCCGTACAGCAGCACTCCTGCACACGCACAGCCCCCCGTCCCTCCTCCCCCCCCGCTCCACACTCACCCCGAAAAACGAGAGATTATGGAGAAGACAGAGTTAGAAAGTGATCCACCCTCCTCTTCCTCTTTCAGCGAGTTTCATCAGTCAGAGTCGTCCAGCCCGAGTCGTGGTTCTGCAGAGTCCAGCAGCAGGGACTGTCCACGGGACGACCTCGAGAAGAACGAGCAAGAAGAACAAGAACAGGACTGCAGCGACCAAGGAGTGGTGGATGCTGGAGAACTCAGTTTTCAGCAGAGCTTCGTGGACGAGCCCCCCATAGCTTTCAACGACTCGTGGGGTCTCGATGTCTGCGCAGAGACTGATCCGGGCGGCGTCAGTCCGAGGCTTGACGACGGCGGAGGGTCAAGTCTGCAGGACGGCTCGAGACGACAAACAAGCAGGACATCGTCCTCGTCCATCTCCAGCTCGACTCTCAATGACCGGGTTCAGATGAACGCCAAACGAGGAGGCGCCACTTCCTGTCCACCTCAGAGTCGCACCCCACAACTACTACACCCCCCACCACCTGAACCCAGCACACGGAGCACCCCAGAGGGCGACAACGGGGTCCTGGACTCTAAATTATGGGACAGCTGGGAGGAAGACGAAGAAGTGGAGAGCCTTCCTCTCTGTCAGAGGGTGACTGCTCAGCTCAAAACTCCTGGTAAGAAGTTTTAACCTCAACTACAGTACCCCCCCCCCCACACACACACACACACACACACACACACACACTATGTGTAACCATGCTGTACAAAAATATTGTGGTGCTTTATTTTAATAAGAAAATGCTAATCCGTGTTGATATCGTTACTGTCTGAATAATCAAAATTATCTAAATATTTCTAACTCCGTTCACGAATTCCAAACAGATCTGGGGTCTGCAACCTGCAGCTCTTTGGTCCCTCTGCAGCGGCTCCAAGTTTTGACTAAAACTAACATAAAACTGAAGTTTATTTTATTGTACAAACAAGAAATGGCTAGTTTTAGCAGTTTTCTGGTCGTTTGTTTTTGCCAACATGTGGATGATCCTAACACGAGGAGTACAACTCGTTTACGTCATGCTAGTAGTTTGTTAGCCACTTCTTACGGCGTGATCTTCTTCTCAAATTCACCAAATGTTTTGGGGTGAATACCTTTAAGACAAGTTGCTGAGAAGAAACACGGTGCGTCAACTTGATAATAAAAATTAAAGAAAAAACAAAGTAAATGCAAGTATTTATATTCATTTTAAAATTCAATTACGTATCCAACAAACTGGCCTAATTTTAAACTTTATGCTTCATAATAGAATATTTTACGAATTGTTAAAAAAAAAAAAAAAAAAAAAAACTTGCGTAAGCCTGCATACTTGTTTGAATTTTTATAAAATTGGTTTAAAAAAAAATTATATATTTTTTTTTACATAAATCCAGTCTCTTCTTTTGCTCTAAAATATAAATATATCAATATTAATAATAATTTGATCTTTTAGTTTCATAGAGTCACATACTGGCCATAAAAGCCCCCTCCGCCAAGCTTGACGTGGGCCACGGGCCACCAGTTGATCACCAGTTTCAGCAGGTTTTGTGGCTCCATAGGTATTTTATTTAGTGTGCAAAGGGCAGAAACGGCTCTTTTGATCCTAAAGGTTCCAGACCTGATATAGAAATAATTTCGTAACACAGAAAAGAGTTTTACTGCAGGTGGGGTTCCTCCAATGTTATGCATAATTCCACAGAAAAGTACAATAAAACTCAGCCAGCTCCTGTTTTTGAAGAATAAACTTTTTACTTTTATTAAACTGTTGACCAAAGAGAAAAATCTAAAAACTGTTTTTGTTTATGTGTCGTTTGTAAAAACCAGTGACAATTAAAGGAAATTTCATTTTCAGATGAGTCTCAAAACGCAAGTTGTTGAATTTTTCTCTTTAGTTAAGAGACTCTTCAGATGTAGACACATTTTAACAACAAGTTCTACTCCGGTATACTCTGATTCATTCAAAAATCTGTTTTTGTTTGTTTGTTTGTTAAGAATGGTGCAGGTAAATATCCAACGGTAGGTTAACACGGTGCCTTGTTTGGGTTTTCTCTGCAGAGTTACGGAACAAGAAGCGGCGCTCCGTGGTTCCCATCACCCCCATGCCTCAGTTCTCCGACATGGACACACCGGAGCTCAAGAACAAACTCAACAGGTCGGTTCATTCTGTCTTCCTGTTCACGAGTTACACGAGGGTCAAGTTGGTTTTTCCCCTTCAATCGAGGCGATTAAGTGATGAGCAGATCGGATTACCTCCTGTTGTGTCAGTCAGCTAAGTCTTCCTGGATCTGCTCGCCGTCTGTGACAAAAGTCTAATTCCCTCCTGTGTGCAGGTTTGGGGTTCGGCCTTTACCGAAGCGTCAGATGGTCCTCAAACTAAAGGAGATCCACCAGTACACCCACCAGCTGACCAGCTCTGACTCCGAGGACGAAGCCCCGCAGATGAAGCCCCCTTCCAGCCGCCTCGTTTCCTGCGCCCAGATGGCAAAGTTTAAAGAACCCCAAGCTCCGGCTGTCGTGTCCCCTGTCAAAAGTGACCACAAGGAGGAGGCCGAGTTACTGTCAGCCTCACAGGGATCGAACGCCTCCTCAACAGCCGCCAGCGAAGAATCTGAAAGGTGTGTGGTTAGTCTCTCACACCAGATGAGATCGGTTGAAGAACATCTTTTCAGCACTTGCATTTCTGATCTATTGTATTTTCCGCCGTACACGTCACACCGCCCTATAAGTTGCATCAGTCCAAATATGTTTAATAAAGTGGAAAAATCCATGAATACGTCTCTTCGCCGTAGACGTTCCATCTGTGATGCGTCACCACTGACAACCCGGACGTTGGGCCGGTGGTGTGCCAAAAATCGATGGGCTACCAAATGGCGGCCACGGGAGCGTGCACGGGAGGACTTTAACAAGAATTTAACAAAATTAACACTTAAAAATAATTGTTTGCTTGAAATTATAATAAATGTGTGTCTCAGTCTAACATTTGCTTAATAAATGCACTTTAATGGTCAAATCAGCTGCATTTTGCCGGAGTGGTGCAGCTGTTTTGATGGTTCCAAGCAGAGAGCAGAATGAAGGTGGGGAGTCTTTGGCAGGCCGATTAGTCATTAAAAGCTGGTGAAGATTCTCAGTCATCCAGGACATGGTAAATTCTAAAAAGTTCAAGAAAAAAAAAACAATAAAATATAATAAATGAAGTCCAGCTGTTTTTGTCTTGAACTTTTTTGAATTTGTTATTATAGCCACGTTTACCTATTACATGATACAACAGTGAACAGCATGCCATACAACTATTACTACTCTGCTGCCATCAAGTGGCTGAAAGTGGTACTGCTCTTTTTTTGTTCAATCAGAATGAATGAAAACTCGTCTCAGCCAAAAAATGGTTTATAAATATGGAAAAATATCCATAAATATGTCGCTTCGGTGTTTAAGTCACAGGGCATGTAAATTATGCAAAAAAAACGTGACTTATAGAGCGAAAAATGTGGTAACTTAAAACTCACCTGGCTCAAGTTTTCTGCTTTGGCTACATTTAATGTAAATCAAATCTTTTCCCGTCAGGTCCAACCCAGAGCAGGTTCTCTCGTCCGATGGCGACTCAGACAGCGATGGTGGCATCTCGTCCTCCCAGGCGGTGTCGCGTCTCCAGGCGGTGCGCTCCTTCATCCTGTCCGACCCCAAGCTGTACAACCAGATCCTGCAGTACCAGCCTCTCGTCCTGGCTCAGTTCCAGGCGCAGCTTAAGGCGGCGGGGATCCGCCTGGGTGCCGCCAAGCTCATGGACTACCTGGACTCTCAGTGCATCACCTTCACCACGGCCAAGCCGGGCCACTCTGCAGCCAGCAGGGGCCGGCGGGGCCAGAAGAGAAGCAAAGGGACCCGAGCAGCAAGCAGGAAGAACGACGCAGTAAAACTTTAACTGAAACCAGTTGTAACGTGGAAACTTTTAGTTAGAAAAACGGATTTTTAAATTATGTGCTGGGTCTAAAAAAAAAAAAAACATGTTTAAATAATGTAAATACTTTGTTTTTAGGAAAGATTTTCTATTTGTTCCATTTTAAGATGTCACATGTTCCACTGTTAAAATAAACATACGTTTGTCATCCAGTCAGCATGAGAAGCTATAAAGTTCATATTCACATTATAGTATTAAAAAAAAGTGTTGCATTTAAAAGCATACTAGTACTACTAAATGTTAAAAAAAAATCCAAACTGATTCACTCAAAACTACAGTGATGCTAAAGAAATCCATCCCACAGAAGATTATTCAAAAACATTTTACTTATTTTCTAGCTTCACATCCAAACGTCAGCTGAGAAGTACATAAAGCTGTGACCACTCCAAGATGAGAAATCTCACAGCTCGTGTGTCCAAGTACAGACGGGTCCTTAAATGCAGCACAGCCCAAAGTCTGTGCTGTCAGAGTCCAGTCAGGTCGCACCTGACGAGTTAGTGTCCAGCCAGATTTCTCTACAGCAGCAGTTGAAGCGCACGGCCTCGAATCGAAGCCCGAATTATGCACATCATCAGAAATCCTGGAGACGAGCTCGGCCCCCTTCTGCCCTCGTTTTCAGACGCTTCCTGTCGGTTACGACAGGCTGGCGATATTGGCGAGGAAGCGCTGAGCCCACCACTCCTCCAGATCTATAGGCACAAAGTCTGCAGAGACAGAACAACAAGGGGGGGGAGCTCGTCACTTTGTCTTTTTAGGATTATTTTGGTAACACGAATGATTCTAAATGTTAACGACAAAAATAGCATACCACTTTATTTATAAAGCACTTAAAACAGCAACAAGGCCAACCAAAGGGCTGTACAACAAAAACAAGCAAAGGACACAGGATAAAATACATAGATCTAAAATAGGTAAAGCTAAAAACCAGGGAATAAAAGTGTGTTTTTAAACGTGAATTAAAAACAGTGAGCGAGCCTGCCTGACATGCAGCGGGAACTCATTCCACAGTTTTTGAACCTGCAACCGAGAAGGCGTCACCTCTGAGCTTAAAACCAGTGCCTGGAACCAGTAAAAGCATCTGATCTGCTGACCTCAGAGAGCGCAGTGGGACATATGGCTGCAGCAGATCAGTGAGACAGGAGGGGGCAGGGCTGTTCAGAGATTTAAAAACATCCAAAAGATTTTTAAATGAATTCAAAAGTGAAGGGAGGCCAGAACTGGAGAAATGTGCTCTCTTGGCTGTACCAGTTAAAAATCAGGCTGCAGCATTTTGGACCAGTTAACGTGTTATAGAGGTCTGACCGATTCCAAAAAGAAGGGCATTGCAGTAATCAAACCTGGATGTTATGAAATATTACTGTCTCGGACAGTATGGGCTTCAATTTAGACTGAACTGAAAGAAACAGGATTAACAATCATGTTTACGTGATCGTTTAGTTTCACGGAAGGGTCCATTTTCACTCCCAGACTAGTGACTACTTGTTTCTCTAACGAGGCTGAAGAGGAAAGGTCGATACCGTGGTTCTTGAATGTGCCATTAGGTGGAAACAAGAATAACTTCAGTCTTCTTCTTACTAAAGTTTAAAAAATTCAAAGCCATCCAATCTCTGATGTCATCCAGGCAGTCAAGAAGAGGTTGGATAGACCGTGCACCATTGTACCTCAGGGAAAGTAAATTTTACAGTTGTTGTCGTAAAAATGAAATGGGATGCCTCGTTTACAAAAAATGGCACCTAGTGGCAGCTATAAAGAGAAGAGGACCGAGGATGGATCCCTGCGGAACCCCCCACCGAAGAGCTGCCAATGTTTAAGTAAAATCCTTGATGTTGACACAAAAGATTCTGTGAGAGACGAAGGACCTAAACCATCTGAGGGCCAACCCTGTGATGCTGACCCAGCCTTTAGCACAAAGTGTAGAATTGTCTCGGCTGTAGTCATGGTTTTTAGGTCAGTTGGTTGTGGCGACCATCTTGATCGACTCGGCCGTCATCCAACAAGTACCGTCTGAAAGTTTTGTTACAACTCTTTCAGTGATTTGTGATTTTTTTTTTTGCCAACAGTACAGACAAACCATCACACGTGCAAAAACATTGCGTGCCTTTCGGTGGTGTAAGCTGTTTAATGTTTATGAGCACGTGCAGATTTAAAATAATCTGTCAGGTTATTTTGTACCGCAAACTAAAGCAGTGAGTGTGTTACAGATCCAAGGTGAATCATGCCAATCATGGCTGGTTTATCTTCTCGCAGCTAAAGAGTAAGTTAAAAATTAAAGCAGGTGATTAGAACAGCTGGCTGAAGATGAAGGAAACCAGCCGGCGTGTGACGATCACAGCTAGCCTTTCCACGCTTCTGTGTGGCGTTTTCACGAGTCAGGATAACAAATAAGAGAGATTACAGGTTCAAAGTTCGGCAGGAGGAAGAAGGCTATCTGCAGGGATCCCATAAATCACTCAGACTGGAGATCTGTTACGAGTGCGGAGTTGCTTCATCCTGTTTGAAGTTGTGCCGGTACTCACTTTTCATCACCGCACTGGGGGTCTTCTCAGCGTACTGAACCGGTCCTTGGCTGTCAGCTGACTCTCCTCTGTCCTTGTCCTCCAGCTTCTGCTCCACCTCCTGCCATACTGTTAACACACACTTTGTCAGCAGCTCTCAACACCACTCGGCCGTTATAAAACACAAACATGTAACACGAGAGCTGAGTGTTGTTCTTTTCCCTTTTCACTCTTTCAAACACTTAACAGCAACTGAGCGCAGTAACAGTAAAATGATTATAAAGTTCATTTACACAAACTTAGAGAATTAAATGGGTTTGTAGCAATCAAGTAGTTGTCTGCTGGGTGGGGGTGGGGGAGAGTTCCAGCTTAACCTCAAGATTAACCCTGCAACTTTTCAGCTGTTTGTTTACCCATGACTTTGCAGAGATTGGAGAATTTAAAGAAAACAGTGCTTAAAAGCCTAAATTAGCTAAATTGTAGCCAAAAGCTAAATTACCAAGTAGCAGCAAGACGCTGGCATGAGAGGCTATTGGCTAAAAGGAGCACAGAGGACAGAAATGGTGCCAGTACGCTGAAGCTGATTTTAATGAAGACATTTTTGAAATGAAGATCTCTCACTGTCCTGCGGGAGTTCGTTATAAACAGTTAAATATTTTAAAGAGTATACAAGTTATAAATACTAAATGTTATACTGCACTACTGATTGAGCCAAACTGACATACAATGGGTAAAAAAAAAAAATTAAAAAAAAGCAAAACGTGTGCATAAGTATTTTCCTTGCAACCACATATGGACAACAAACAATACTGTGAAAGCCGACTCGGCACTCGCAGTGAACCAGTCGTCTCGCTGCACCAGAGCTGAATGAAACGACAGATTTAGCTTCAGTTCAGTTCAGTTTATTTATAAAGCGCCAAGTCACAACAGAAGTCGTCTCAGGGAACTGAACAGAAACGTCCATGTACATAAAAAGTCAGTTAACGTTATTTATGTGAGGAGCCGACTGCTTTGAATTTAACTCCATCACAGACTCTCATCTTGAGCATGAAGGCGACAGTGGAAAGGAACAACTCCCTCATGAGGAAGAAACCTTTAGCAGAACACGCTCAGGACAAGCGGCCATCTGCTTCGACCGGCTGCGTTTGAGAGGAACAGATACACAATGGCAGGTCGAGAATCACATGTCAAGATAGAAATAATGTCAAATTAAAACTATTCAATTTTAACAAATCATTTAAGGAAATGAGGTCAATTTGTCCTCTAGTGGTTTAAGCCTATAGCAGCTTAACAAGCTAACCCTAACTATAGGATTTATCAAAAAGGAAAGTCTTAAAACTGGACAAAGTGTCAGCCTCACGGACAGAAACTGGAAGTTGGTTCCAGAAGAGAGGAGCCTGATAACTGGAAGATCTTCCTCCCTTTCTGCTTTTGGAAACTCTAGGAACCGTGAGTAAACCCGCAGTCTGAGAGCGAAGTGCTCTGTTAGGAAAATATGGAACAATAAGATCCGTAATATAAGATGGAGCTAGGTTGTTGAGGGCTTTGTAGGTTAGAAGTAAGATTTTGAATTCTATTCTGAATTAATATTTAATTAATTAACTGCTTTAAGTGATGAGCGGCTGAACTTCGCAGTCATTTTACTGGAAACAGCCAAAAAGTAACTAAAGTTTCTGATTTTTTTTTTCCACCACAGCGTTAAACGTTAATACGAGGTAACGGTTTATGTTTAATGACAAGAAGCTACTAGCCTTAGTTCGTTTGATGAATTCTTGTAGTTCTGGGAACTATAAGCTGCATTTACACGGGCTAGTATCGAAACTGTCCGTAAGCGAAGCCCCTCGGGGCGTAAAGCGTTTCTTTGGAGGAAGAACAAACACAAGAGCTGTAACATGAAATAAAAAACCTTCAGGAGGTTCCTCCTCCAGCTCGGTGAACATCGCATCTTCTAAAGGTTTACACCCACAGCTGGAATGCAGCTGTTTTACTGGAGGACACCATGTCCACCAGAATGTCCTGTTTCTGACGCTTACAGTCCCTGACCTTTGAACCCTGAGTGGGACAGATCTGCAATGTCTTGAGATTTCATCAGGACACCCAACATCTTCAACCTGTTCATGTAACCACGGACCCTCCTCACCTTCGTACACAAATCTGACGTTCTCCTCGTGCGCAGCAGTGAACCCCTCTGCCGGGCTCGGGGTCGGAGTGGAGGAGCCGTGGTGCCGTTTCCCGTTGAGACGGTTGAACACGATCTTTGGGGGCGGAGAGCTGAAGGGGACACAGAGAGAGGAGCTGAGGACTGTTGATAAACACAAATTACAAGACGTCAGTTTCAGATTTAAAGTTTAAAAAAAAAAGGCCTTTCATGCTAAAGATGGAGTTAGCTGTTGCGGCCATCTTGAATTGGATTAACTCCAAAAGTTAATCAGTTGTAGATGTAAACCCAGTGACTACTTACTGAAAGTTTCAGTAAAATCCACCCACTGGTTAGTGACATATTTTGCTAACAGACAAGCAGAGCTGACCCTAAAAGGTTACTGGAAACCTTCTAATTAGTTAGTGCTCTGATTAAATCTTGCAGATCAGTCTCAGCTACTACCACACCAAATATTAGCTCAGTATTTAGAAAACTGAATGATTTAAAGGTACTTTTGTGTTGTTTGGTGTCAACTGGCTGTGGAGACCAACTTAAATCGGGTTGACTCCAAAAGTCAATCAGCTGTAGAGGTGCATTCAAAGAATACTTTCTGGAAGTTTTATTAAAATTCATGCAATGGTTCATGAGATATTTTGCTAACAGACACAACAACCCATTATTGCCTGTTCAGGTGATCAAAAAGCTGCTGCTTGTATTACAGCATGCAGAGGAAATATTTGTTTTAAGGGAGAAATCAAAGGAGAACTCCAGATTCACCGCTGCAGAGGAATTTGTTTAATCTGGAACTCAGATTATCTCTTATCCAACCCTTTTGTACACGACGTAAATTAACAATTAGAGCCGTATCTTAAACTTGTTTTTCCCCTTTTTTTTAAAACTCTTTACATTATAAATAAACTTAGCTGACACTTTATTTTACCAAACTAACTTTTCCGTTAGTAAAAGTTTAAAAGTCTTCAGCTTTAATACTTTTTTTCCTGACGGAACCTGAAGTAAACACGGGTTTAGGGGTGACCTTTCGCTTTTATTGACCCTGAACACACCACCACTACAGAGTGACTGAGCTGTGGAGAACCATAACTGGGAAAATTGCATTTCCAGCAAAAATGAATGCTTACTGCTGAAGAACCTGCAGAAAAAAAAACAGCTCAAATTAGCTAAAAACATGCTGAAATGGAAGAACAAGCTGCAGAAGAAAGCAGAAACAACACATATTTGCTGAATTTGGTTTAAATAAGCAGAAATGAGCACAAAAATTAATAAATTAACTAAAAAAAAAAAGCTGAAATTAGCACAAAAAAATTGCTGAAAAGTAGCTGAAAAGGCAGAAAGAAGCTTAAATTACCAGAAAAAAAGGTAGAGAGCACAATTGTGCCCATTTAGGCTTAATGAAACAGAAATTAGTAAAAAAAAAAAAAAAGTAGAAATTATCTGAAACAAGCTGAAATTTGCACAAATAAAAAACAATGCTGAATAGTAGCTACAAAAGCAGAAAGAAGCTTAAATTACCAGAAGAAAGTGGAAAGAGCACATTTTTGCTGAATAAGGCTGAAAAAGTTGAAATTAGTGCAAAAAAATGTATAATTAGCTGAAAAGGCTAAAATGTTAATAAAACCAGCTAAATAGTAGCTGAAATTGCATAAAACAGCTGAAACTTGCAGAAATGCACTGTCTGGAGCACAAGCTGGAATTAGCAGAAATAAGTTAGAAGAAAAACAAAAATGTTGTAGTTAGCAGAATAAAACCGAAAGGAGCATAAAACAGCTGAAAGAACAGCTGAAAGTAGCTGAATTTTTTTAACTGCACAAGGAAGCTGAAAGAAGCTAAGCCAGAACAAAATGTGAAAGGTTGTAAACATTTCTCAAGATTTGAAGGATGCAAAATGAGCTCAATTCATTTACGATGAGGGGGGGAAAAAAGTGGCAGAAAAGGCTAAATATTTAAAACAGCTAAAGTTGCACCAATACCAAAAGTCATAGCTCCCTTCTACTTTTTTGATATATTTGTTGAAATTACACAAAAATTGTGAAACGAGAAAGATGCTGAAAAAAGTTCGGAACAGATGAAGTAGCAACAACAATTATTAACAGGATCACAATAGTGTGAAAGTTTCATAAGCAACAAACGAACGAACCCGAAACAGAACCTGAGAGGTCACAATGCTTTGTCCGATAATGGATGCACGGCACGATGACGAGTTACGCGATCGCACGACTGATCCACGTGGGAAGTGTTCTGGGCCCACGCAGCTAAAATCACGCGCTCGTACAAACAACACAACAAATACTGATAATAATAATAATAATTAGGAGGGTGGACACTTACTTTGACGTGAGCCAAGACGTCGGCTTGAGTTTCAAGTCGCTGAATTTGCTCTCGACCTGCTGCGTGGGACCTGAAATCATCCAGGAGTCAAACCTGCACACTCCGAACATTTAAAGGCTGAGAGCAGCACCGAACTTTCCCGGTGTCGGTCCAAATCCCTCCCTGGCATCAGCTCAGAGACTCACCTGTCCTCCGTTGTGTAACCAGTTTGCTGGGACCTCTGGTGATCGTGTACATCCTGCGAGCTCAGGCACCGCGACAGATCCTTGCAGGGTCCAGTCACGGGTCCAAACATTGGTTCCGAACTCGGACTTCCAGTCGGTTCCGTTCGACGCAGCGCGTCTTGGTTCGTTCAGCTGATCCAGTTAAAAAAAATGAAATAAAACTACACGTGTGGAGCTGCGTGTATTTTTTTTTTTTTTGGAGGCGTGTAGGTCATTCAAGGAGAACACGGGTCCACGTGCCGGGTGAGCTCAGAGGAACCGGGTGGACACGTCCTGAAGCCGAACCGGACCGGACCACGAAACTCCAAACAGTACTCTCCAACGAGACACGGATTACAAGGACAACGCTTATTTTATTCCCACAAGGACGCGTAGCTTCACGCGCAGGAATTGTCAAGTTTAGCATTAAAAAAACACTTCCTGTAATGATTTTCAAAATAAAAGGGGTTTACAGTTTAAAATTGACCACCGTCATTTCAATGTTGCACACATTCATTCAACCTTTATTTATACAGGTTATTCTCAATGAGTCACAACAGCTTATTTTCAAGAGAGACCTGTTTTTTTGGGGAGCAGATGGTGGGGGTTAAGGGCCTTGCAAAATGCAAATAAAATAAAAAGTGCCATAAAACAAGGTAAAATACTACAAACAAGAACAAATTGACCTTATCAAATGCTCCAGGTTACAGGAGCTGAGTAAGAAAAGGCCTTTTTGCCAAGTTCAGTCTGCAGTGAGGGGACGCTGCACGTAATGAAGTCACAAGAGTGCACGCTGTAACTGCACTGATGACATGACATGTGGGAGAAGATAATATGAAGGCAGCAGCCCAAAGAGGGATTTATAGATGAAAATGAACCAGTGTGAGAGAGAGCCTGCGTGTACTTAATGACATAGACGTATATACACATATTTAATTTTTTCATTTAAACCTTTATGTTACCAGCAAATAATTGAATACAGAATATGTCTATGGTTTCCACAAACATCATCATGCAGCTCTTTATTAAATAAATAAATGAAAATTATATAACCTTTATAAAATTTCAAAGCAACAGTTAAAAGAGGTTTGGAATAAAAAGTTGTTTTAATGATTTGTAAGAGTTCCAGGTAGGTTTAATAGTACTAATTTCCTACTAAATGACTTTTGAATAATAGACTATTTAATAAGGGTGCACCAATAAATCGTCCAGCCACTTACCTCCTTTTTATAGTTTCAAACAAATAAGACTCATAAAGATCTATTCTAGAGCTTCCACACTTGCAGTATCATGCGCAATATGGCTGCTTTTGTTTTGAAGTCGTACATTCTTCTTTTCCGGTTTTTCCGTTTGTGTTTACGTTAGGTATCCTTCTAGGTAACGCCCCCAACTGTGACATCACCAAACGCGCCCCCAAGACGGTGCTTTGTGGGCGGGGCCAGGAATTCACCTTTCACCCATTAAACCATTTGTAGTCTGTAAGAGGCTTTAGTGAGGAAGAAAACTGAAAGTTGTTTATATATAT